TTACCGCTCTCCGGAAACTTATCGACTCTGGTAACTTACCGTTCTCCGGGAACTTATCGACTCTTGTAACTTATCGCTCTCCGGAAATTTTTCGACTCTGGTAACTTATCGATTCTCGAAAACTTATCGACTTCAAGAAATTTCACTTACCCACTATTGATCAGTTGGTAGTGTGTTATCCATTCTTACCGACAAAGAATATCACATTGAAGTTCTAAAACTGAACGGCAGTATCGCTCTCTCATATTGACATTTCTAGAACTCCCTCATTTGTTATGGAAGCTGTGTCTGAGATTGAAACTGCCTCGCGAAAATCGTGAAGAATACAAAACTATCTACAAACTCGACACGTGTAATATGTCAGTATATTAACAATCGACGTATTTCTTCTGCCTTATGATCTAGTAAAATTTATACGCAAAAAGTTTGTAATAGAAAAGCATTGGCCGATTGCTGAAACATATTTTGAATACAGCTGTGAGAACTATATCGACAGATGCGATAACCAACAAAGTTCTGTATACAAAACCTACTATTTGACTATTTTGAATTTAATATATTTTAGATATGTGTTTCTTTAATTTAGCTGCAGATATAAGATATAAACATGTATACGCGTGTATCAAAAATAACATTCTAAATAGCAGGTTATAATATAAATTCTTGTTACTTTTTTGTTCAATAGATATATTTTGTTATTTGTGCTGTGTAAAGCCCTAAAGATCATGTCAACTTTGGAGGATAAGATTTTGGGAGAGAAACTACAATATTACTGTAGTAGTTCCAGCGAAGATGAAGAAAACGATACTGGAGAATCTGATAAAGAATTTGACGATATAAAGTATACCGAGGATACTGCACAATATGCTTCAGAATGGGACGGGACTTCCAACAATACAGGACCTAAAGGAGTCATAAAGGTATGATGAAGAAGATACGTACTATGTGATACTGTGTGAAGGATGAAAATCTTAATTCCAAAAAAAATACAATTAAAACCTAGATAATGTCTGGAAATAACTTTAACATCGATTTAAAATATATTCTTTGAAGGACTGGCAACGGTATAAACAGCTGGAAGCAGAGAAACGAGAATTACAGGAAAAAGAAAGAATACAGTTAATGAAGAAACTGAGTTTAACATGCCGCAGTGCTTTGGATGAGGAGAAACTCAACGAGACGGATCCAGACCTGGCAAATTTACTAGCCGATGAATTCCTGCTGGAGTATCAAAGGCAGAGGATGAAGGAGATGCTCGCAAAAGCTAAGACGCTCAAGTTCGGAAAAATTATTAACTTGGAGAACACAGACCATTTTCTGCAGGCTATTGATGAGGAAGACAAGTCAGTGACTGTTATTGTCCACATTTACGAGAATAATATACCTGGTTGTGAAGCTATGGACGGATGCTTAATATCACTTGCCGAAGAATACCCTTATGTAAAGTTTTGCAGAATTCTAGGTTCGTTAGCAATCATAAAATTATACATATCAGATTTCTTCATACTAATCTTCATTAAGGAAGAACCAAATTATCTTAATGATTTCTCTTTTAATCGTAATAATAATGCATTTCTTCAATAATCAAAATACCTTAAATTTTTTTAGGATCAACCGCCGCTCTCAGTGCACGATTCAAAAAATTCGGCACACCAGCTTTGTTAGTGTATAAAGAAGGACAATTGATAGGAAACTTCGTACACGTGACAGACCATCTAGGAATAGACTTTTATTCATCAGACGTAGAAACGTTTCTCATCGAGCACGGAATGCTTACTGACAAAGATTGCGTACCGCTTATCATCTCAAAAAACGAAATCAAAACTTCTGTTAGCGAATGAGAGATTTTGTATTATTATTTGTTTTAAGATTACTTATCAAAATCTATTTGAAGGGCAGGAAATAACTCGCCGATTAAAAACTGCCGATAAATTGCTGATAATTCACAATTAGCGAGTTATTGCCTATAATTGATCGATCATCGCGTCAAAGAGAACATACAAATCGATACGAAACTCCAAAAATAAAAAGAAAAGTGGCAAATTCTTCGTTCTTCTCTCCTTCCTAAATTAAATATTCATTTTATCAAACTTTGCCTTATTTGTAAAATTATTTTAGCATATTCAACATTTGTTCCTTCTTTTTTATTGCTTTGCAAAGCTCCGTGTAATTTTTTAGCACCTCATCGTATTCCGTATTTTTTAAGTTCTCATAGAGCTTTTTCAAATCTTCTTTCTGGCGAATCTCATCTGTGACTGCCTTCAATTTCTCTTCGACCGCTTGATTTAACAGTCTGAAGGCGTTGATAGTAGTTGGAGTCTCGTTAAACATCTTGATCCTGCAAGAGAGTTTTGTCATTTTCGCTTGCAACTCGGCGACTTGTGCTTGTAGTAGCAGATGTTGCGACTTCTCCAAGTAAGCTTTACTCATATCTTCATATTTTAGCTCATTCCATTTATCCATCAAATTTATGTATTTCTGCAAGGCACTTTCGTATTCCACAGTTACTTCTTCGATTCTACTCTTCCATTCTATTATTCGTGTATCACATTCCAGGATTTTGTAGCGCATGTTATATTCATTACTCTTCAACGCTTCCTTGACATTTCCTCCTATAGCTTCGTATCTGTTCACATGTAGAAAACAATGTTATCATTAAGCTATAGAGATATTTTAAGTTATAGTGCTAAATGATTCATCTTATGAATTATGAAGTATAATTAACATGTATTGAATAAAAAAAATATTTTCTAATTATTATATCTTTCAAATTTATATATATATATATATATATGTACCTTAATATCATATCATGTATTTTCTCTCGAAGCATTGTTTCGACACAGCATTTTATTTCTAACTTCTCATCAAAACTTAAATCAGACAATGGCAAATCATTAATCCCCAAAAGCGTTAAATTGTCTTGTGCATGCTCCGGCGATGAAGGAAGATGCATGTACTTGTCGAGTTCATGAGTCAACAACAATGCCTTTAACTTGGTTACCGCATTTTTAGACAGAACACTCTTATGATCCAAACATGCTTCCTTCATACATTGATAAATAATATTAGCTTTCATATATTCACACGTATTTTCTTCACATAATGTTAAAGACTTCATCAGTGTCTCCGCTGAATTTAATCCATGAGCGGTCGCAGGCTTATTGCTACTTTTTATGGCACTGAAATTATATTCCAACAGACTTTGAGACATGTCCATTCTGTCAACGAATCTGCTGCTGGATTGGGAAATTGCAGAGATACTAGAAATGTCTGTAAACAGAATGTAACAAGTTACCGATATTGTACAATCGAAGCTGTACGTACATGACAAATTCATAACAAATTCACTAGCAATAGATATTAATTTTGATAATATCAATATTTCTAATATCACTTTATATGACGTAATGATTTATTACTTACTTGTAATGATTTATTACTTACCTAACAATTGAGGTAGATCAGTAAAATTACTCATGATGTTACGTCCGTGCTCGATAAATTTGTAATTTAAATGACAGAAACTAATAGCGACATATAATCCTTCTTCCTTCCTTAAAATGAGTATTTGTTCCTTTCAAGATATAATTTCCTGATCAATCTCAAATACCGTTTTATACACGACGTACGAAATTCAAATGAACAAACTGACAAGTGGTCAGCTGATTGCAGTTCCACCAATGTCGAATGGTCCGAAACAAAGTTTTAATCAATAGGGAATTTTTTCAGCAAGAAATCCAAAAGTTTTTCATTCGCTGCCTATCATCTTTTGATAATCGTAATATCGTGTATTTTGTATTTGATTGGTTATAACAGCTGGTGCATTCATGTCCGTTCATTAAACGAGCGACGGTTGTCATCTTTATTTACACCATCTATTACATTTTCTATCCCTGTTTGAATGACAATAAACAAATATGGCGGCAACATTTACAGCATGATAAACAGTGGGAAATGTTTAACATGATATGCTATAATTTAATTATGTGGCATGAGTTCGTCCGCTGTTCTGGTATCCTTGTGCGTTATTCGCATCGAGATCTGTGATTTAGAATTAGAAGAATCTACCAGTGAGTAAGAATATTTTACTGCATAATATATTAACCGTGATATCGTCGCCATTAATGGTTTAATAATATAACCTTGTTGATTAAAATTCGCTAAAAATAACAGTTAACCTATTATATAAATGTTTTACAGTTATTTATTTGTCATATCGAGAAATTAATACAATATTTTGCAATATTTTCTTTCTTATGTGGTTCATTAATATAATAACGTAAGTTAACCCTTTGCACTCGAGGGCTCCGGAGCGGAGCCATTTAAAATTTGTCCTCAAACTCGAGGGCTCCGCTATGGAGACAATGCAAATAACTTTCAGTTCATAACATAAGGACAAAGACAAATCGTAAAAACTATTGTGTATAGGATATTCCGCTCTTGCTATTTGCATTTGAGTTTGAAGAGTATGAAGACAAATTTTAAATGGATCCGGAGCCCTCGAGTACAAAGGGTTAAATTTGTTTCTAAGAGTGGGAAAAAATGTTACAAAATACAGGTACAATGGCTATGAAGATGAGAGGTTGCAGGGAACCGAGAGATATCAATGTGGAGACTTATACAAATTCAGCGGAAAGTACAACCCCATTGTTATCAAGTCAAAACAAATCACACTCATCCTCGAGAGCTAATTCTGAAGAAACTTCATTCGCAAACCATGTCGCAAGTTCTGGAGATATTACAGGTGCTGCTGCTTGTACATCACCGGATCAAATTAATTTTTTCTCGGGAAATCCGTTTGTTGAGGTCACAAAAGGCATTATTCACCTCTTCAAGGAGGAGTAAGTTACTAGACTATGTTAAGAGAAAATTGTTATTTGGTGTATACATATTAAGGGATTTTAATCAAAAGCACGATATTGATTATTATCTTTATTTGTTGAAGTGAACTGACTGAAATGCATTGTGCTGCGGATCGCAGCCATACTATCTGTATGTTGTCAGTACCGGCAACAATGACCTGCCATGATCTCTTAACTTTCACAGCAGCTTGTCATCAGGATATACAACACTTTAGGATACTTAGAGATGGTAATCCTAATCAATACATGGCTTTGATCACCTTCAGGTCATCGGTAAGTTTATCAATACTTAAACCAATCGCTAATTAAATTCACCCGCAAGAAAATACTTGAGACTAGAACTTTTTTTTTCCATTGAACTAATGTACACTTGTAGAACTCAAAAAGAATCAGACATACTGTTAAGATTTGGTGGAATAAAAGAGGAGAGGAAAACTAGCGTAAGCAACCAGTTCAGTAAAGAAGAACAGATTTTATGAGAATGATTCTACCTGCATCTCTAATTAATTGTAATGTCCAAAGTTACAAAATTAAAAGTTTTTTTTTATGTACTCTAGAGCGCAGCCAGTGAATTTTATGAGACCTTCAACGGTGCTCCCTACAATTCTTTGGAACCTGATGTAGTTTGTCATATGGTGTTTGTGTCTAAAGTCGAAGTAGGAGACAATGGGATGCCTTTGAGTGGACATACAGAATTGCCATCATGTCCTGTTTGTCTGGAAAGGATGGACGAAAGCGTGGATGGAATCCTGACGATATTGTGCAACCATACCTTCCATTCCAGTTGCCTCGTGAAGTGGGGTGATACTTCTTGTCCCATTTGTCGATATGCTCAGACACCAGAACCACTGGCCGATAGCCGTTGCATGGAATGTGGTAAGTGTCCGTCTAATTTCTTCGCTTGAAAAATGGAATGTTGCCGTCTTAGATATTCTTTTTTTTTTTAATTCTTTCATGGTTTATACTTTTTAAAAAAGTACTAAAAAATACCAAAATCTTCTGTAACATTCCAGATTCATTTTAAGGCTCCGCTGTAACTATCCTTGTTTAATGACGTCAGAAACGAGAAAACGCATGCCAAGATTTTTTGCGTTATACTCTCAAATGAAAAGATATATCCACAAAGTGACATTTGTGATCGCACACTTGTACAATTGGACGAACACTCCTACTCGAATAATCAACAAAAATAGTCGCAAAATTAATGTAATACTTCTTTTTTAAACTCTTTTCTCATGTCAATGTTAATTTTACGACTACGTATTGATTGCTCGAGTAAGAGAAAAGTGTTCATCCAGTTTCACAAGTTTGCGATCATAAATGTCATTTTATGGATACATCTTTTTATTTGGAAGTATAACGCAAAAAAATCTTGGAATGCGTTTTCTCATTGTATATTTGTAAAACAAATGTAAGAGCGAGAAATTAACCAATCGTACTCTTTTTACATTCGATCGGTCAATTTCTTATGAACATACTCATACTGCCCATTGTAGACTACGCTTAAGGGATCATTTTAAACTACTTTACTAAACCTAGTGCTCCCTCTAACATGCTTTGCACTCTTTCAGAAATTAAGGGATTGATTTCAATCATCAAATTCCTTTTGCACATTTTGGAACTTTTTAGTTGCAGATGCCAGTAACGACGCCTTGTGGATCTGCTTGATTTGCGGTCACGTGGGCTGCTCGCGTTATCATCAGGGTCATGCGTTTGAACATTATCGGGATACACATCACTGTTACGCGATGCAACTGGGGAACAATCGTGTCTGGGATTATGTCGGTGACAATTTTGTGCATCGGCTACTGCAAGACAAAGATGGCAAAATGGTGGAAGGCGGTCGTACCGAGGCCAAGAGCGAAGGTGCCGCTGTGGAGGAGAAGGTCGACTCGGTGCAACTGGAGTTTACGTATTTATTAACGTCGCAATTGGAAACGCAACGTCAATATTTCGAAGAAAAGCTCAGTCGTTCGGAACAACGCTCTAAGACGGAGATGACCGAGTTGAGGGACAAATTGGGAGAGGTGCTCGAGGAGAATTCGCAGTTTAAGGTAGATGGTTCTCCTTTTTTTTTTTACTTCTCTCTCTCTCTCTCTCTCTCTCTCTCTCTCTCTCTCTCTCTCTCTCTCTCTCTCTCTCCTATACTTCTTTCCAGTTTTCTTTCCCCCTCCTATTGGTTCAACTTTCTACAAAGTAAATATTTTTATATTATATCAGAAGCAGTTTTCCGTGCTCAGTCGCGACAAGCAAGCATTGGAAAAACGTCTGCAACAGTCCATCAATAAGCTAACACGAATACAAGCGGAATTAACGGAGGAGAAAGAACTGAGGAAGGCTCTGCAATTGAACCAGACTTCATGGCAAACGAAATGCAAAGCATTGCATGATGAGGTGTCCGATTTAAAGACTGCGAAAGAAAAGGAAATCGTAGACCTAAAGGAACAAATCCGAGATCTCATGTTTTTCCTCGATGCACAAAATCAGATCGAGAAGTCTGCCGATCGAGACGAAATTGCTGCCGGTCGTATTGTCGTTCCTCCTAGCAGCGGGAAATCATCAGGATCTCGAGGGCATAAAGGCCACAAAAGACATTGATACCACCGAAAGTTATTAAATTTGAAATTTTTTAATTGTCTAAATCTTTGCTTGACAAACGAAAACAACTCACTTTCAAAGATTTTTGTCGATTTGCGAATAAAAACGCAAACACGATGTTTTGTGGAAACAATTGTATCGAAAAACAAAACACCAGATGATAATTATATTGGAATTATTCTTCTCAGTGACAGTTTTAACATGAAGAGGATGTGCTAGCTGTGTACAGAGATCTTAGCAAATTGTTGTTTACATTTTATCTGATTTATGCACTGATACCGATGTAAGTTTAAGATTAAAAAAATAAAGTATTACAAATATCGTCTTTTTTTTTCTTAATACCTCAATATAATTAGAAATCATCATGCATTCTCTTCCTGCCCGAATACCGGATTATCATACTGAAACTGATTGCCATTCAATTGTGTAGGCAGCTGAACGTCCGACGGTCTCCTTGAATTATTATCATAAATATCACACGATTTTTGAGTCTGCGTTTCCCTCCTTTTTGCTACGATCGTCGATCGTCTTCGCTCGAAAGCGCTGAATGCACCCTTTGACATTCGTGAGGAAACACGCTCCGATAAACCTACAAAATATACAATATATTCGGTAAAAAAAAAAAAAATTAATACGAAGAAATATGAGGTATGGTGATAAATACTATCGCATCTACATACACAAAAGCATGTTGACTAATAGGATGCTCAGCATATTGTTCGGTAATATTGTTGCTTCACGATTATCGAAATATTTTAAGCTTGATTTAAGATAATGTGATAACCCGGATTATAATCTTAATGATTGATGCTGCTTTCACACGCAAAACACACCTGACAGATTTGGATTATGGAGCTTCCGTCGGAACAGTTTTTCGAAATTCCCGATTTTCCTCAATGGCGACTGTAGATTCTCTGTTAATCCATGTACAGTCCTTCTCCTATTGGAAGCAGCAGTGGTAGTTCGCTTGTACTCATCGGTTATTTCATCCTCCGCCATACGTTGAAGTCCCTGCACTATAACATTGGCATCCATATCGACGGTGTCGTCCAAAGAGGTCATCTACGAAGATAATAAGATACTATGAGGTGGCTACATTCATACATAAAATAAATATATTTCTTGAAAGAGAATCTGATCCCTTTTTTTTATATTTATGTGTATGTGCGCTATTTTCGATATATTTATTTGAGGAGAACAGCTAAGAAATATCGGAGAAGTGATTAAATATTTTGAAGATTACTCTAGTACAGCAAGGAAGTTGGATCTTCATGTTAGCAAGCACATGGGTAAACGTGTCAAATCGATGAATCAGCATAGAGATAAACTGGATGCCTAATATGCTGACAAATCCGATAATAAATAGGCAACCAATCGGCTCGAGCCTTAAATATTGCTTCCTCAAATGCACCTGTAAGAAATTGGTATGTAATACATAACGGTTACAAAATTAATTTAAACGCTACAATTGAAATAATTCAATCCAGAAAAAGGTGAATCCACGATTTGTAAATTCTGCGTTAGAAATGGCTTCGTATTTTTTTTTTACACATAAAACAGACTATACAAATTATAGTCTCAGACGATTAGGAACTTATTCTTACATCCATGATGAATTTAATATTTGCGTGAAATCATATTTTTAACAAAATATGTTACACGATGATTATCGCTAAAATGTTCACCTCAGGTCCTTGGACATCATATGTAACATTGTACTTCATGCTCAATGGCCATTGCAAATGCAGTACGTTCTTATTCAGTTGCATAAGGAACACAATTAGAACGAATAAGGCGTTCATCATGAAGAACCTCAGCAGATACGCGTTCCGACAGTTCGTCAATTCCTGTGCTATCTTATTCTAAGGAAAATACAAAAACACACACGTTACACATAATAACAATATAATACATAGGACGGTAGGAGAGCTCATTGCTACACAATGTATTTTCGTCGATTAATCTCACTCTTCTTTTTACGAGGTACAAAAATTAAACGTGCTTACTTGGCTCTCTTCGTCGGTCTCGATAGGTCGCAAGTATTTCTCGATCAACTCCTTCCAGAATCTCTCCTCATGGTTCGTCAGAAAATCCACCTCACCCTTTCGCATTCTCTCGTCTTGGAGCCAGTAAGGACTGACGAGGAAGCTGGAAGGCTCATGGCTCGAGGTCAGTGACATCTGCGTCAAAACGTCGCTATCTTCGTCAACATCCCCATTCTCACTCTTGTCATCTCGCATGTTCTGTAACTCGATGTCCTGTTGCAATTCTTCTTCTATCGGCGAATACGATCTTGTGTATTTATTAGGTTGGGGAGACGATTGTACAATGCCCCTGGTCTCCATGTGCGCTAATCTGTGAGCATCGATAATTGCATCAATAATTATACGCAGGCCCTGCGAAGTAATCGGCTTGAAATAAATTCAAGATGACATATTTCAAACATGATTGAAATTAATGACTTTATCAAACCTGTTCAGTAAATTCAGACGCTTGTCTATTCGCTGCAAAGAGTCATTAATCTCATTCAGTCGCCTCTCTTCGTGACTGATCCCCGTATTAATGCAGCAGACACATCTGAAGAGATTTCCCAAGGAAAAGTCCACCGAACTGTCCTTCTGCTTGCTCCATTTCTCCGTCACATTTCCCGAATCGCCGGTCTTCGTTAATCTCTGTTCTTCTTCAGGCTGTCCAATTTTTACACGATTACTTTTTTATTTGCAATCAGAAGGTCCTTCTAAAGTTCTCCGAATAAATCGGTGAAAGGAGTCGTGTGAACACTCACGATAGCTTTCTTCTTCTCTCGCGTGCCCCACGTGACGTTGTGCACGTTGAAAATAGAGAAGACGATCAGCAGCATGTACATGGACGGCACAGTGATGTAATAAATAACGCCGCACAACAGACACATCCACTCCTGGGGGTGTAACAGGCCAGCTATGATCAATTGTATCGCGACGATGAAGAAGAGAAGACTGCTGGGTGCGAGCCATCCATCTTCCGCTATTTGCAGCATGATTCCCACCAGAACAATTATCATCACCAGCCCGTAAATAAGACTGATGATCTCGGCCACCAATAACTGCGAAAATCCACATCAATAACGCGATGCTGTTGCATTTATGAAGCGTTATGCTTACCTGTATGCGCTCCTTGCAGGTAAAGCAAACTGCAACGAACACGCCGATCGGAATGAGATTGTACAAGAAGCTGGTCCAGTTGTCGATATGAAAGGCGGCGACGAATGCACCGACTAACATCAGGAATATCGTACCAGGTCCTAGGATTGTGCTTCCTTCCATCAATAATAATATTATTAATTAATTAACGTTGTGTTTTAACACATGTAAAGTACACACCCATCAGAACCCATTGGTAAGCAATGTATAACCACGAGATATCATTGTTCCTCTTCCTCGTTAGTCTGGCTGTCATCAGCAAGTCGAATATATTCGCGAGGGTGGAGGGGATCCACCTGCGACGTTGTACGAAGACATCCGTGAAGGCTTCCGGTGCGTGAGTATACGCATCGCTAGCTGCCGAATATTCAACCTAAGACCGAGTTGTAATAACATACATATTGTCCCTCCTTTTTATTCTCTAGCGTTCTTCAAGATAACGACTTACCCGCGAACCCACTTGGAGCAGCAACGTGCAGAGCCATCGATCCTCGCCTTGATCGTACTGGATGTAATGCCTGGCCTCGGTCGACTTGGTGGCGTATTTTGCCATCACGTTGTTTTGCATCAACGCATTCGATCGAAACAGAGAGAAACAACCGGGACTGCACAGAACACAACCGATTATGTGCTCGGTGGACTTCTGCAGCCAGTGGCCGATAGCGTACTCGAACTTTTGGATCCAAACTATTGGACCTGTTCGTTTAAAAGCCAAAAAAACCTTAACAATAAATTATTATACAATTTTAAGGAATTGCGTTAGGTGGTGCGATATTAAGTGATCTTCTTTAATAACAAAATGTTTGTTGTATGAGGACATACTTTAATGTACTTAGTCGTCGTGCTAGTCACCATGCAGATAATACACTGAAATATATTTATCTATATGATCTATTATCTATTTATATACTTGTATACCATTGAGTGAGGAAAAAATACTCGGACCCCGAAATATCTCGAAAAATATAAGTTTTATAGAAAACTGTTCCAGATAAAAGTTATAGGGTTTTTTCCCTCATATATTTCTCCCGTATATTTCTATAAAATGCCCAAGTCAAGTAACAATTTGTTAAGAAGTGGTCGACGTTAAATTTTTCAGCTAAATGCCGTGTCGCTCAATTAACTACAATAATATCAATTCTATCACTTCAGTTAAAACAGTTCAGTTTATTTATCTCATCTTGCAGATTATACCTGAACCGACCGGATGTATCCGACCGCATGCAGCACCGAGATCCTTATCCTTTTTCATGAGATCCACCAGGACTTTAACAGCCGACGGCTGGAAGTCAATGTCTCCGTCCAGCGTAAGAATGTATGTGTTCGCAGCGATGATTTCTTTTCGATCCACGTCGATCGGTAGCGCCATCAGACGATAGCCCAGAAGATAATACATGTACATGACCTATGATAGCAATACTGATCATTTGAAGAATTTATCTTAACAAAAACTTGATAAGATACCTCTACTTATACATTTATATATATTTATTATGCGTCTATATATACTTGTTTCATACCTGACTCCATCGTTTCCTGTGTCTAATCTTACTGCTATCCTTCAGGTGAACTATCAATTGAGTTCTTCCTGGTAACGTCCACGTAAGTCGACCGCCGTAAGGCGTCGGATACTTGGTAGGCGGCGAAGAACGCATATACATGTTCTCCACGTTTCTTTGGACCGTCTCCACTAGCGTTTCCACGTACTGATTGACTTGTGTCTCATTCTCGTCGTGGTCGCATGAACCAATGCAGCCATGCATGCAGCTGAATGCGTCGTCGAAGAAAATGTGTGCTGATGAGAGAAAAGAAGCGTAAAAAATGATTTTTATCTCACATATATTCAATCAATTTTATCATTCTAGATCTGAAGAGGTGAACTTTTAGAAAAGAATTAATTTTGTATATTAAAAGAATATAATAAACGCATTATATAAATCTCTTTCATACATAGATCATTTTGATTTCTTACGGGCACACACTTATCAAAAAGCTCCACATTATTAATTTATTAATAATAATTATAATCTATAAATTAATTTAATTAAAATATAAATTTCTGAATCTTTAATTGCTTATAACGAATGGCTTACTTTCCAGCTCATAATAATCCTTGATGTGAACTTTGTAATATTTCTGCGTGACGCGCATCGCGCACTGATCCTTGTCTAATCGCAAAATACTGTTTACCAGCTGATTCATCTCGTGCCTTTCTTCGTGCCACATCGTAGCGCACGCATAGATTCTCGTCACTCGATCCTTGAGCTTGTTGTCCGTTGTATCCAGATCAATATGGCCCAGTTCCTGTTCAATTTCTCCATTATCTAAACTCATACTGATAGCTCCATTCTTCAGAATACCGTTCTGAAATTTTCATCGGCCGATAAAAAATGGAACAATGAATGAATAAAATGTTTTGTATGACGAACTGTGACATTAATAATGTCTTTAATCTCTTACTGGAAATTTAATATCATCGTCGTCCTTGTTATCGTCTTCATTAACATTTTCATACTGTGTTCTTCTGTTCAAAGCTAAACACTGGTCGATCATAAGTGAATCGTAAATGATCGTGGAGAATATTTTCTCTACTGACGCTAGCCTTTCATTTTCGGTGGTCCAGAGGTGCATCGTGATCCATATTTGCGACAACAGCCATATCGACCAACACCAAACATACCAATTGGAAAGAAACCCGGTCCAATCTTTGAACATTACATCCACGAAGAAAAGGTAGTCCGGCACGACATCATGGAAAGCACAAGTGTTTTTGTTCCTGACGGTGCACAATGTTATGGCCAAACATACTGTCCCGAGACTGACTAGACACGTTGGGAATGCGAAACCAAATTGATGCATCTGACTCCTGTAGGCGAATTTACCTGAAATTGTTGGAATCTAAGGATTTAGTTCTTCCTTCGGGGCATTCCTTAGGTTTCATTTTTGTTTATACAAAGTGATTACAGAAGACTTGGCTGTCTAAGCGAGTACTTACAACACTGATATATCACTACTGCACAGATAGCTTGAATCGCCAAAACATAAAAAGGTGTGTAATCGTTTACAATTAAAAAATAGGAATTTTCTTGCCACACGACTTTGGTGAAATAAGTGGAGAAGACATGTTCGTCTTGAGAACCACCCTTAGCAGAAGAGATTAGCCTGATCTTGTATGCTTCATTAAATTTGGGTGAGAAGAAGTCTTCGACATCTACCCCATGGCATACATTAACGATGAGAGTACCTATGATAAAAACGAACGCCCTCCAAATGGACACTCCTCCTTGTATGATGTGTTGACTTGCTTCAAGATTCTTTTTCAAAGACGACAGGTGACGCACCAGACCTATTTTAGCAATTAAAAATAAATAATAATTTCAATTGAAATATTTTGTCTTGTCATTCACGGTAATTAAGCCGCAAGGATCGACACAATGATATAGTCTGATGGGAATATTTTGCTGAAATACTCTCTCGATTGACCTTAATATACGCAGTTTTCAGTTTAATTCAGTAAACTTCGTGATATTTAATATTTCAAAGATTTTTTATTCTGTACAGCCAGTAACGAGTATAATATTAACAAATTTTCGACAAAACAGGACGGGATCCTCTTAAGCAATAACGTATTACTTAAAAAAAAATTACAACCGGACATGTTAAGAATGAGTATGTAATATATACTACAGGGTGACCCGCTTTAAAAAATCTGCTTAAATATATAAAAAAAACGTTACATTTTACAAAACAAATGTTTCGAACAAAAGTTATAGCATTTTGAAAGATACATAAGATGGTGACTTCGTTATATAGTCAGTAATTCAAGGTCTTTTCAAGATCAGCTCCATTTTTTTTTTTTTTTTTTTAATAGAATCGTATAGTTTTTTAATTGATTTTTCTATTCATTCTACATATAAAAGTACTATGGTAAGATCGAAAAATGAATACTTTTAAAGATATTTTACTTTTTATTCTGATATTTTTCATATGATTTCTATCGTAAATTTCTACGTGTGATTTGCACGTACCGATGTTACTGTGAAACGATACAAAGTTACCCCACCAACGACTCGAGCATAAGAGCAATGTAATGGGAAAGATCCATCTGGAAGTTTTATTAAGGTCGTGCTCAATCAAAGGCCATAAGAACATTCCACTGAGCTGTGCAGCCAATGACAGTATGTCGAAAACGATGAACAACGTGAACTTTTTCGATGTCAAATTCCGATTCTTCCTGTTTTGCGAAAGCAAATCTGTTGGGTAATAATATCAGAATTCAACGACTGAATTAGCAAGTGGGAGATAGAAGTGCACTTTTCATCGTTTTAAATTGAGCAACGGTCACTAACGTGCACCTTTTATAAAAGACTTGACAATCAAACTTACTTAACAATGCCGGCACGAAACAGAGGCAACAGAAAATAGCAGCGCCTTGCACCGCGCCAATATCCGGTAGAATGACAAAGGTCAATAGCACTAAGCCGATCGTATGTCCTGTTTCCATCATTATCAGGAACAGAATGCTTGGTATTGTTGGCATTTTAGGTTTCTTCTTGAAGAAAAAATGCCATAAAGCGTCTAACAGACCGATACATTCCGGTACGAGAAATATCAAAATCAGACACCAGGTCCATTTTATACGGCCATCTTCGGTATGTTCTGTTACATAGTCACGTCCTCCCAACTCTAAGAAAATCAGAAATTTCATGTAAAATAAAAACTTCTGATAAGAATATTTCTTCGCTGTACCAGAATGATAATAGAATGGAAGATATAATTATAACATAATCGAATCTTAACCAACGATAAGATAAAATTCAAGGACAATCTTTCAATAATGAAACAAAAGCACAATGAATTTGCTTTCTTAATTAATTTTCATTTCCACAAGTTGTGCTTTATCCGACATTATTTGAACTTTTGGTTGTGCTGCAAAATTTCATTGCCAGCGCTGAAAATCTATAGTTTATGTATACTATCGATTTTCAACACTGACAGTGAATATCGAAAAACGCAGCCTTTGAAAGATGCCACAGATTGCCACAGCAAAATTTCATTAATTTTATAACTTCAACATTTCACAAGTACGCACAAATTGAAGGTTCCGCAATCCTTTGGATTGTCAAGTTTAAAAAAGAATCTAGGTTTCAAAATCTAGAAGCTTTTGTATGCATCGTTTGTAATTAGTGTAAATTACATACGTTCGATATTAAAATCTTACCTTGATTATAATCGCAATAGGGTAACTTATTCTTCTGCAACTGCGAAGTAGCGAATAAAACAGCTGATTTAGCTGCGATAGTACCGCACAAAACTATGGCAAATAGCAAGCCATAAACGAGTATTTTTATTGTCCAAATGATCTTCTGGAAGAAACTATTATTCTGCATAGATCCGTCTCTCGACGGGGAGGGGCAGGTTTTGAACAAATCCCACGGTGGAATGTCCTTCTGCGAACTAGAGTGCACATAATCAAAAAACTATAACTTTAACTATAATTTTTACATTATCTTATTTCACCTATATCACATTTTATATCTTTTTTTATATTTTAAGTTTTCTTTTCCCCTCTTCTTCTCTTGTAACCACAAAATAGTCTCTTTTGCAGGATCCAGTTTTGCCGAAATAGAATTTTTCTGCTTTATAAAAAATAAACCCTCAATTCTTCTTTGTAAAAAGTAAAGATTACGATTCATCTATAATTTTTAAACCTCAAAGTTAACTCCACAGGAATATATTAAGCCTAGCAACGCGGTAATTCGTAGCTTCATGGAACATGGCCAAAATCAAGATCTTATCATAAACGTGTTACCGTACTTTTATCTTCGCGAAGCTTCTTGAGAATAATTCGCTTATAGTCCATGAATCAGTTTTTTTTTTCCACTACACATCATTGTTTATCCCACGTTATTCTTTTATTCATTTATCGATACATGTTTAGTTTAATTACTTCTAACTTATCTAGTCCTTCCCCATGAGAATTCGCAGCGATATTGGGGACTCTAATTTTCGGAATACGTACCTCTCTTCCTCGGTATCGTCGAATTCCGAACTACTGTCATCGTAGTTATCCAAATAACCAAAGACACTGGCTCTCGGTCCATCTTGCACATTTATTCGCGACATAAATACGAATTGCGCGACTTGTATCGCGAATTGATGTATCCGCCTGCGATACCAACAATGGAGTGTAAGCGCGTCACGATGATCGACCATCATCGATCGGCACGATAAGGTGAGATAAGATTTGTAATTCAGACCAATTCGTAAATGGACTGTCAGCATATTTTCGCATGTACTGGTCATTAAGATAGTACATTTTTTCTGCGTTACAGTACACAAGTGAGTCAGTAGATACGAAGAAATGAACAATGTGTATAACTATAGTATGAATTTCTGGACTGATAAGGAGGCAAGCAGGACAAATTTGGAGCTTACACTGAAAAGAAATATAGATTGGTTTAGAGCAAATGGACAAAATTAAATGGATAAAGTATTGGGCAAACATTTGACTGATTTTTCTATAAACATTTTTCATAAGTATATATTTTCATAGATAAGCTTTGGAAGCCTGATCCGCTTTTATAACAGTATCACTTCTATTACTCTGATTTCTTATGTAGTTGGCACATCCTTTAACGTCATCTCACTTTTTTATATCATCATATATAACATAGATTTACCTACTACTAAGAAACTACTAATAGTGATACATCTTTAAAATGATATAGTCTTTATTATTTATCTTTCACAAGTAACATGCATTAGTCAAATAACTGACTTCTCTTCTGTATTACCATATAGAACAAAACCAACAACTCCTCTCATCGCTTTTACAAAAAATAAGAAATGACATTTGAGCTAAGCTTTACATAGCTGAGCTCAGAACCGAAGAATCGTAAGAAAATAATGTATTTCTAATATAACCTTCATACTTCAACTTTTCGAATCATCTTCAACACATTTACTGTGTTTTCGTGATGCCAATAACACCACAGGCAAGACGAGCGCCAGCGTTGCCGGTAGTCTTCGAGAGCTCGTGACCACCCTGACCGAAATCATCTGGATCAGCATGGACCTAGTTACAGAAAGGTAATTAAGAAGGGTACATAAAACGAGAAGGAAGATATCCTATACAATTAAAATTTAATTAATATAAAACCAGATGTAAAGCGACGTGATGAGAGAAGATGAAGAATTAAACATATAACAATAAAATATACAGTATTGGAAAAAATCATTCTTCACATTATAAACAAATCATAATTGAGCACATACACACAACTAAATATTTCTCTGAAAAATACAAATTTTTACAACATTTAGCTTGTAACTGCGTTTCTTACAGCGTCTTGAAGAAACACGGACTAATCTTGCAAGAACTTATTAATATTAATAAAAAAAAAAAAATTGGCTTGTTTTTTATTTTACTCTAAAATGAATATAAGACAAATTTAATATGTACCACAAGAGTTCGTCCAATGACGCTGTGCGATCCGCACAGCTGAATCATGGAGTCAGTGATGTTGACCTTAGCAACACCATCGCTATTGGCCTCCACATTTCCTAAGTCTCCAATATGACGCTCAGCATGGCTCGGACCACCATGTTCTTTGCCCAGTGGATTGAAGTGGGCGCCAGCACTCGTGCAACCTATAAGGGAAACAAGAATACTCTTATACAAAGTGAGTCAATTGTATTATATACATTTTTTACATTTGTTATATACATTTGAGTTTAAAAAATTATTAATTTAATGCAAAATGACCAGTATTGAAAATTAAAAACTATAACAAAAATGTCAGAAAAGTCTACTTGTTACTTACTAAAGAATCTTTAATTAGCGGAAACATATTACAGGGTTACATATCACATATAAGTTCATTCCTCCTCCTCATTATCATCGAATAAACAGATATTGATGTCACATATATTCTTTAATTTGTTTCAACTGACCTTTTATTGATTCCACAGAGAACAAAAATAGTTTGAATGCAATCAAACTGATAAAATATACGATTTCAGTAAAAATATTTTATAAAAAATATAGATTTACATATTTAAAAGAATTTTAAGAAGCTATTTTTAGGTACCTTTATAAACCAACAATCTTTGTATAAAACTTCAGATTTATAAATCTTGCAATAATTCTTCAGTATGCCTAAATCATATGTAAGTGACATGATAAAATGTATGAATTATATTTCTAAGATATATACCATTGGTGTTATCGCCAAATTCATGAACGTGGAAACCATGCAGGCCTTTCTGCAAGCCAGAAATTTCTCCAGTCACCTTCACCGTATTTGAACCTTCCTGCAATCAAACACTTATTATATTTAGAAATAAAGTTTTTAATCAAAGGCAACGAGTTAAATTGTCTAATTAGATTTCCTGCATAGTTCTCAAATTGTCCTGAATATACATGTATAAAATTGAAACGGATACTCTACAGAAAATTTATGAGTAAAAACGTTTAAAATTGTAACGTTTTCTTTCCTCCAAACAAATCAAACGATATAATTAGCAAAAACCTCTTTAATTAACAATGCAATAAACCCGAGATGACAATTTATAATGAGAGATTCGACGAGTAGAAAACTTCGACGTAGCTGATTAACTTAATCAATGAATCGGCAAAAATTAGCGAAGCTTACCGCTTGTTCAAAGTACACTGTTCCCTTAACAGGCTCGCCCTGAAGGACACAGACCGCTTTCACCGTCATTTTGGAGCTATCGCAGATCACTCGGAACCGGCTATCGAGGTCGATCGTTCGCTGTTGACTGCGCGACAACTCTGGTTACGCAAGAATCAAAAAGATCAGATTGCTGAATCACGACCAATGAGAGTGGTGAAAAAAACGCTGACGTGCTACGCAGATCGATTGATAAGTCGGCAAAATTTCAAACGATACAAAATGGTTGATCGGATGACTCAGAAACTAAAGTCTTCGTTGCACTTCATGCACTTTATTTTCGCATCTTTTCTCCGCAGAACCCTGGGGCTATGTTCGAGAACGTCGCCCGGATGCTCGGCCCTCTCCCTTCATCTCACTCTAGTATCTCTCTTACTCTAACGCGGCGAGTGCATCCGAATAATGCTTCCGAACGTACCCATGCATATATCTATTCTGGTTTGGTGCGAAAAGTGCAACTAGAATGGACGGACCTTCAGGTCGTAAGTGGGATGTGGATAATACACATAGGTGACAATGTGGAACGAACCATGAGAGAAATTCTCGAAATATGGCGACGCTGGCGACACCTGTGCGCCGCACAGCGAATGCAAAAGCGCGCAGTATTCGAATACCTGCTCCAGTTTCTTGCAAGTTCTATCAAGTCTTACGTGTTACATACTTATATACATTATAAATTTATATTTTAGAAAAAATGTAACTATCGTGAGATATAAGAAAGAGTAGAGATACACACACACACACACACACACACACACATACATACACACACATATATATATATATATATATTTATTTATATTTACTTATAACAACAATAGTAATATTTTTCTTACCTAACACATTCTGCGTTGTATTCAATAAGAGCTGAAAAATTAATGCAAGGAAATAGAAATCACAAACGCATTTTACTATTGCATTCGTTTATTCTCTTATGCTCTACCATAATACTGTAATAACATACAAGAAATGCACTTTAATGAAACCTACAGAAGAGAATCTGAATATAGAGTCTGTCACTTAACATCGCTTCGCGTTGTTTTTTTTCCGCTTGTTGTGTTCTTAGTACATGTAACAAATGTCTGCTTTTTTTCTCTTCGCTTAGCGACAAACACAAATATATTTCCATCAAACATTATCATCTTTTTTTCGATCGATATAAGGGATTCGTACGACGATAATCGATTCATCCTCTCTTGCTTCTCAACACTCACACATCTAAACGTGCATACAAGTCTTGCGCACGCGCGCATACACACACAACACACTCACACGTACACACACGCGCGCACACAACATACACACAACAAATAAGCTTAAATATTGCTATTAATATAGTCATCGTATTTTGTATCTCTGAAATGTCATGTGTGTTGGAAAAATAAACAAGCCACTTTACCTCTCTTTGGTCGTTTTTCATAATTCGTAGAAACTAATTTTATAAGGATACTATGGTTAAAATACAGATCACATTATTAGGTAATTTTGCTACCCATATCTCTTTTTTACTTTTGCACTGGTCTTCCGTTGTTATATTATCGCTCAATGTTATCGGAAAATATAAAAACTTATAGCAAGATAGATTCGTCGTGATTTACACGGACGGTGTAATTAATAACTTTATTTTCTCTGTAATAATAATATTACTTTTGCAGCAAAAATTTGACTCGATTATACTAAACAAAATAATAGAATCGCCCCAAGACAAAGCGAGAATGAATTTACGATCAAGAAGATCGCTAATAATTCATATGTTTTTCTTTTTTTCGTCCCAAAAACCAATCACCAATTTTGGGAAAATTGTCTCTTGCGAAACATTACTAATTATATAGTATCATAACCAGCTGACGCCATTGATTTCCATATTCTTCTGCCATAAAACGGCTGATTTACGAGACATTTGAAATTTTTAATTATTTATCAACAATAAAACAATTCTGACTAGATATCAAAAAATTGTAACGTTTCTCATTTTACCATTGGCAACCTGAAATGCTAAGTATACAACTCATAGATCCGAGATGATACGAAAATATAAGGATTTCTTTCGCACTCGTACACAAAACTCAAAGTAATGAACGAAATTNAAAAGGGGGGGGGGGTATGAAAAGAAAAAATAAAAACCGTAAGAAGTTAAATTAAAATCATGGAAAGGTACAAGAAAATCAAGGATCATGAGGAATTCGAAACTTCTTACATTCTACGACGTTCTTTTGTGAATCAAGATATTCGTTTTTGAACCAAGAACGTTCAAATTGTAATCTAAATAAATTTACATTAGTAACAGTAGAAATTATCGGTTATGTTAGGTTAAATTAGGAACTTAAGTTATATATCTCGATCAACAACAGCAGAAATTTAACTAGATACGACCAAGGAGTGGCTTTTAAAACTTATATAATATATTCTACACAATAATGCATACTGGGTATTTCGCTCATAAAAAATGTACGTCGTAAAAAAGTCACATATTCTAGATAAAAATCTGAGTTGTCCTTGTGAAGAGTCCTTTAAGAGTTTTTATTTATTTTTAATATTAACCGAGATATTACGAGTTAAATATTTTGAATAATTTCATTCATAATATTTAGAAAAGTTTGAATAATTTTGTCATAAATACACACCATTGTTCTCACAAATCTGTGTAATTTCTTTCGCGTATCTCGATCCAACGTTTAGCCGTTTTAACACTTCGAATAACATTTCTGATCAAGCGTTAAATGCGCTGCGCCCAAAGCGAACAGCCAATAAGAGCTAGACGTTGGATCGAACTGTGCGAAATAAGTTATGCAGATTCACAAACTAGTGGTGTATTTATGATGAAATTATCCAAACTTCTATGTATTATAAATAATATTATTCAACCTTCAACTCGTAATATCTCGCGGTTAAATATTAAAAATATCCAAAAACTGTGAAGGACTTTCCGATTCAATTTTTATATAGAATATACGACTTTTTTCATGACATGCATGAGTAAAACAACCTGTATAATATCTGCATTTTAATTCCTTTCTTTTTCACCACGCGTTCTCTTTAGACACTATAGATCGCGCAAAGTAACTAGACAAAGCAATTATGAAGCTTTTTATCTCTTAACTTCCACATAAACTTCACCCTATCTTTTTTTGTTCGTTATATTCCCGAATAATTTGTAAATAATATACTTAACAACATCATATTTTGATAATTATGTTGAATTTTGCTTGACAGAAAGAGTAGAAGCTTTGTAGATTCTGCTCTACAGGTACTACTGTGTATGGTTTATTTTCATTGTGTGTAACGTATAATACGATATCGTATGATATCGTACAATACCAACAACGATCGTATTTTTGAGCCTTAAAGGCTGCGAAAAGATTAATAAGAACGACATGTAAATTTCTCTTTTATGTCTACAACGTCGTAATATGATTTTTGAAAATCTAGCGCATAATTATCAGCGCGATCACGTGACGTTCGCAAACTGGGAAGTTGCTACAAGATGTTCGTATATTACGATATTTAACGCGCATATAACAATGTCGCGTTAAATTTTACATTGTTCGCATAAATTGAGGCAATTTCGGAACTCACGAAAAAGTTCCCTCTTTCATACTTGCGCGCGAATACATTTTCTCGCAAGTTGCATTTAATCGCGTCAATCAGCAATCCGGCGAGTTCAAATTCCTGGATCGTCGTCGCGATCATTTTGATCAATAACGTTAGAAGTGAGCAATTGCGCGCTTTAAATTCTGACAAGGTACGTTGAAATATAAAGATATACGTCCAAATAAAGTAACATTTGTCATCGATTTGCAAAATATTCCAAAAACATTTCACTCTTTTTCAAACGGAAAAAGATCGGCAAGTTTTCGGAGTACTTTACAAGCCCGATCAATCGAGAGTGTCAATTTAGGGACGTGTCATTTAATTTCAATGTACTCTTCAAGAATCTCGAGCGTGTATTTTTTCGCTTCTGATATAAATTAATCGAGATGACCGTGGCGAAAGTAACACAGGAGCTTCGACTTCACCGTTCAATAATCAAATGATCACACACTCTCACACATGTTCGCATACACACATACACGCGTACGAGTCAACAAATTCGAAAGTAAAATAAAGAAAGATCGCTACAGATCACACTTTCTGTATCGAATTCGTCGTTCATCGAACGTTCGAATTAGGACGAAACACATGCCGCATTCTCGGCGCATATCCAGCGCTGAACACAGCTGCCGTGATTAGGGTAGGTTCGTAATAATTTGCATGCTGAGAAATTTCATAATTCCACGATTATTGGATTATGGCCATGTTTAGCGCCGAAGGGGCGTCGGGTACGCGGACTTTAATTGGCGCGCTATACCATACTGTTGTTGAAGGATTCACCCGTCGAAGGACTATAAAAACTGAAGCAGGGCAGGTCTTGCAACGCCTGTCCCGAAGTGCGTCAGTAACGAGGATAATAATCGCGATACTTTGTTTTTGAGAGCAACAGGTTACATCTTCAGCACATACTTTTCGCCATCTTGCTTATCTCGCGGCGGTNTTTTTTTTTTTTTTTTTTTTTTTTTTTTTTTTTTTTAGTAGCTCGTTTTCTTTAGTCGGTGGCCTTTACGTCTTAATTGCGCGCTAGTTACTAGAATAATATTGCAAGTTCAAACGGGACGCGAGTTAATAACGAACGAAAATCAGTCGAAACTCTAACTGGATTGTTCGTCTTTCGGGATAAATTTCACACAACAACGGACTGTTCGATCAAAATAGCCGATATGGCCATTATGAACTGCGAATGCCCTTATAACTTAAGCGACTTCATGTGCAAAGTTAACAGACGGTTTCTCTTGGATTAAGAATATGTTTAACTTAAGAATGAAAAAAAAAAAAGAAACGTTACATCGTAGCCTCTTTCGGGGTTTTAAGACTGCTTTTAGACAGACGTAACTACAATATCTTCGTACGTAAGGGAAATCCTTTTCTCGTGTTGAACGTAAATTCAATTTTTTTTCTTTTTATGATAATTAGACTCTACTATCGCGATACTTGACGCAACGAATTTAATGTATAATGCGCGTTTTAATCAGTCACTGTATGTACGACGCGTGAAATTGCTGAATACCTTAGACTTAGAAATACCGTTTTGCCAGCGAAAATTAACGCGGTCCAAGGAGAATAGAGATAATTGAGAGTATCGTTACACAACAAATCGGAGGCATCGAACACATACTTGCGTGTCCCAGCATATACAAGAGAAACTCCAGGAAAAAAAAAGATGTCAGACATGTCGCGAATTTCACAGAGAGAGACATTTCTCTCAGGTAGTTAATGAAATTCCCATTTAAACTCTAGATTATACCGTTGAAACAACATTCCGTAACTTATAGTTTATATCGTATACCCATAAATATATTAAATATTAATTAGCATTCCTATTGTGTATGAACATAGGATATTCTTTTTGTAATGAAACAATCTCAGGAAAATCGAACTATATTTACACCCCTTTTCCCCGTAGAACACCCAAGACGCAGATCAGGGTTCCATATCGCAAGGGAGAAGATTCCTAAGAGCAGGCACGAGGTCAGTTTCGAAGAAAGAAGGGAAGAGACTCTATGCTCTGCGACACCCATGACCACGGAGACGCCGCGATACTACAAAGTAACCGAAGATCATAAACGTTTCTTCAACAAAGTTAATAATACGCGAACGATCGAAATTATCAATAACAGTAAGACCACGGCCATCCGCAACGGCGCGAAGTCACACGAAACGATTAAATAAACGATTAGCAGTATACACACTTCGTCGTATACGGTGCACGTGTACACGTGTCGGATGGCGGGAAGCGGGACGGGGGATCTGCTAAACTCGTATATAAGTTGGCAAAGTTCAGTCTTCGTGTGTAAAAAAGAATAGTCCCTATAATAGTATGATATTTATGTTTACGATTAATTAAAAATGTTTATGTACGCGATATCACAGTGCTCATCAGCGTTCATCATGAAGAAGAGAAGAACAAGAAGAAGAAGATAGAAGAAAGTACTCCCCCGAATTGCGATTATCGGCTCTGTTTCGCCATCACAGAACGATCGCTATCATCGGATCTCGACTCAATCGCCACCGCAGGGGCACGTCGATGATCATTTCAATTTGACACCGACCCCTACATAGGACCGAATAGCGCAAAAGCAACTCGAAGTAAGTTCAAACGAAGTGGCGGCAGAACCAAAACCTGCGACCCTGCAACGTCCCGGTACTGCTAACTCGAGGTATCCGAAAATCCCGATTCCTTTACGAATGGCGCGTAAAGAATCGACGTATCGCAAGGATCCTAAGTGCTCTATGAATGAAAATTGATGACAAGATCCAAAATGAGCGAGAAACGCAGACCCTGCTGTAATTTTATATTAACGCAATATACGAGATTACTCTCTCAATCCCAAGATCACCACGGAATACATATCTTGATGAGATTACGGAGTACAATCTCAATACCAAAATATAAACTCTCTCTCTCTCTCTCTCTCTCTCTCTCTCTCTCTCTCTTTCTCGTGCACTTCACTAATACACAACTGAAATTATACATTTTCTGGATATAACATCAGTTTAATTCGTCCCACTATGTGTCTCATGCAGGGTAAACACTATAGTCGCAGGCACCAATACCTACAGAATCGTGGCCATATGAAGATATAGTTACGAGACTGCCTTGAAAAACTTCTTGGCCCCCGTATTGTAATTAAAGGCCAATTAATTTGATATTCCCATCGCGTTATACCTCAAAGCGCACAGGTTAGACCCTAAAGTGGCCGTCGTTGTGATTTTAAGTTATAAAAATTTATTAATCTTACTTCTCTCTCTCTCTCTCTCTCTCTCTCTCCCCTCCTCTTCCAAAATTCTGTATCTGACATGTAATTGTGCTAATAAAAATATAGAAACTGTAGCTTAGTAATTAATTACTGGCTTTTAATAACAGCTGATTATTAGATTGCGTAAAGAAATGTTTTAAAATTTTGAAGAACTGTAGAATATAATTTGGCCAATGTTCTTCGTCGAAAAAGATCGGCAGTTCTGGTATAATGACATATTACTTCGTGTGGATGTCGAGAGATTTCATAAAAAGTATACAAATATATATAGCATATAGCACAGAAACTTGCAATAATATCGCAGCAACGTTGAAACAACATTAATGTTAGCTTTTGTACTATGTGCATATATACATACACATATATACGTATGTGTGTGTCCCACACAAAAGTTAACGTTATTGCAATATTACTTCCAGCTTCTGTATTATATATATATATATATATATATATATTGTATATTTTTATATATACGATATCATCATTTTATTTAGCAGTGCGTGTGTACTGCTAAATAAAATGATAGAGTCGTATTAAATTTGTTATCTTTAAAAAAAAACCTTTTTATATAATCCAATGAGATCATAACGTTTGCCCCAGTAAAGTGAGAGAAAAGTACGTTTGATATCGTTTCCCTTTCTTGTTAGCTAAATGGATATCGACGGCCCTGCATTAAGCATCATTAAGGTCAGATGACTGATATACCACATATAAAACTGATGAGATACGTTCCTTATTTTAATCATGATGCACGATAGGTAGATCTAGAAATATGCTACGTTTTACATATCACAGAACTACGCGTACACCCGCTATCCAACTGCTTTGTACCAAGAAAGAGAATGAAAGGAAAATAGAGTACAAAACTTCCAAGTTTTTAAACAATCGCACAATTAATATCGTAAAATAATTCAAACCTTTCATGAAAGCGAAATAAAATATCAACAGCGTCAGTAATGATTATGTCAACAGTATAATCGTTTTTCATTTCGAAGGATGATAGTTTATATCAGGGATTAACTAATGAACTAGTTCATAATGAATTATTCAGTGCGAGTTTCCTTTAATTTGAGTAGAACTGCCACGATTTGATAGCGGGTGTACGCAATGTGCGAGAGTATTCAGGACTTTATCATGCTCGCAACACATACGTTTCCTATTATTATATCACTATTCATCGACATAACGTATGCAATCCGATTGACAAAGTAGGCGCGTCAAGATCAATATTCGCCGATCGAAGACCCTACACGATCGAAGGATCCTTCAATTCGAAGGTTCGGATGTTCCAATATCAGAAACCGAGGAAAATTGTAACCATCCAAAATTTACAAATCATGTATGATATTTTTCTTGAAACTCAAGATCTGAAGAATACCGTAAAGTATCGAAGCTCTTAAAGTGCCAAGATTTTCAAATACGTTTTGTAATCTGAAGTAAAGTTCAAGATCCCTAAGTTCTGAAAGCCCAATCTGCCGAATTCTTGGAATTTCAAAATACCACGTTCACCAAGTCGTAAGAGGTGTTGGTACTTCCAAGTTTCAAACCTGCGAGGATCTAGAGGATCTAAAATTGCAATCTGGAGCTTTGAGAATTCCGAGATGTCATGGAACCTGAAAATCTATGTCAGAATTTACCGGGATGCGATCAACGGCGAAACTATGATAACAGCAGTTTCGGAATACGAACCTTCGAAGAAGGCAAGTATCCAAGGACACGAGGATCCTGATTCAGGAGATATCGCATATGTCCCACTTCGTTGAATATTATTGACTATCGTTTTCCCGTAAAAAACACTGGAGGCTCTCCACGGCGATTAACGGCGTCCAAAACCAATCCACGTATCATGCCCGATCTCGAGTACGCGAATCTAACCGAGCCAAAGGACTTTACTGCGAGAGGGATTGCTGCATCTTTGCAATTCTTGCGTTGTGTGCGTAACGAGTGGCTAATTACTTCACAAAAGCGAGTCGCGAGTAAATAACCGCCACGCGGCGATAATCAACAATCATTAATTAATAGCGTCCCTGCGCGAATGCATCCCTGCATTTGTTAGCTGGTATTAATTCTCTGGCCTCCCACGAAAAACTTAAACGGGAGGGAACAACACTATCAGTTACTCTACTATAATTTATAATTATTAAAAACAATATAAAGAGGAATAGCTAGATAAAACTCAGAGAGGAAGATATTTGAGGAACAGTCATAAAACTGGACACTCGGGGTGATTATTCATAGTTCAACCTTATTTTTAAAATCGCCCCGAGCTCATCTTAAGATTCATTGGCTACATAGCGAAACTTGAGATGAATTTAGGACGATCTTATAAAATCTTAGATCGGACTATGAATACCGCTCTCAACTACAGTTCATTACTGAACGGTGAAATCAGGAGAAAAAACGCTCTCCCTAAGAACTGAGATTGTTTTTCACTCGGTTTCCCTGAGACCAGAGAATTACATATATATACATACATATATATATATATCTCTCTCTCTCTCTCTCTCTCTCTCTCTCTCTCTCTCTCTCTCTTTCCTCTATCATTGTCGCTTCCTATTTCTTTCTCGATAATTACATGATATACGGTGGTATGTGCAGAGTAATCTGGAGGCTCGCAAAAATGCGACACGCTGCTAACAAGATACGTTACATGCCCTGACAGCGTGCGCCAATTAATTGGTTCGATAATTAATCGGGCATGTTGATTAGAAAACGTCCTCCGGTACCGCAAAGGGCTGCTTCAGAATACAACAATATGTTATATCCTTAGTTTACCATACGCAAGTCGGTTTGCGGTGCGTCCACTCTTCAACCGGTATTTCTCATGTTCACTGAGCACAAAAGATCTTCAATGTTATCGCAATTTGCAAAATTTCAAAGTTCAATCTGTGGATTCTAAGATCGCAAAAGTCTCAGAACGTAGAAGGAGAGAATTTAGCTTCTATCGAGTTTAACTCCAAAATTAAAACCTTCGCCTGCTCCAGAAAACAATTGCCAAAGATGTGCCAAAGTAACAATCCAACGAAACAAGGATGTGCAAACGTCTGTGAAGATGAAAATATTTAAAGGTTTCAATATCCCAAATACTTATGTCTTCATTCTTTCTTTTCTTTATCATCCTTTCAATGTTCGCGAGGGATTCTATATTCCAGAAGTTAGCCTGTGAGCTATTAAAGTTCCGAAATGTTCAAAGAATGAAGAGAAAAAGTTACAGGTCAAAGAAAAAGATGGATTCAACAAAATGCAAAATCCGAAGAGTCTGAAAGTCCCGAAGGACGAGCGCCGCGGGGAACGAAGTAAATTACCAGTAGAAGAGTGAAACTTCAGCAGAAAGTAGCATATAATCGTTACTGTTCACCGGAGTGAGAAATGGCGTAATTTGGACCGTTGCTTGTTAACTAAAAGAACAGGTACAACTAAAGATCAGATTAGTTTCAATGGCGGCCAGCCTGCGCGCACGGTGCGCAGAGACAAGACCACTCAGTGGCCAATTGCATAAACATCAAACAACAATGTATCATATAATCATTCGTTGGTTCAACAACAAATCACTTTCGATATATATATAAAAATAAGATATCAAACTTTGCGTCGAGGTACACAGCCATTGTGACTACCTGCTTAATTTACCCCTAAAAGTCATGCCCGTCTCTCCAAGAATCGACCGTTCAAACCCCGCTAAAAGTGTCCCTGGATCCGTAATGTCAGGAAGTCCAAGAAGTTAAGCGCTCGAAGCTCCAAGAAGCATCACGCGAACGTTCGCATTTGAAACTTAGAAATTGCAAGAGACAAAGAGAATCCGAGGATTAAAAGATATGTTCAAAGATGATTGTCTAAGAATGTCGGAGCATTCGAAGTAGGAATGTGGAGGCTCAGAGTTCAAGATTTCAAAGTGTCTGTGTTTTGTGTGTGTGTGTGTGTGTGTGTGTGTGTGTGTGTGTGTGTGTGTGTGTGTGTGTCAAATTTCCAAGGACTCAGAGATTCCTATGAGTGCGAGTTCCAAGTGTCCTGAAACCGTAGACCAGGATTCCGCGAATCCAGAGATCTCGAAGCCACGTTTGAACACTTGCGAGATCCTCGGAGCACGAGATGCTTACTTTTTTTTTTTTACGCTACGATTAGTTGCATCGGAGTGCCCGAAATTAGTTTAGTTTCGTCGGCGAAGCTGTTCCAGGCGTTCCCAGCTGTTCCAGTCTGTCTTTCTCTTTTCTCCCTTTGTTTGTTTTTACTTTATATATATTGACGGTCTCCGTTGCTTCTTTCATGCTCGCGGAACAGAGGGCACGACAATTTGTTAATCATGCCGGAGCGCATAAAAAATGGCTTAATTTTTATGCAAAAGGCCTTACAAATTTTCTTTCCATAGAGAGTATCGCGCGTTTTGTTTGCTGGTTTCATTTTCTGTGTATGTGTAATCACGCGAACTATATAAATAAATTATAAATTATTACATCTGATATATAGTCTTAACCCACCCCCTTCTATATGTTTCGTGCATTTCGGAGAAAGCATTTATAATGTAGTTACAATAGTTTACTCGCGCAAGAGGATTACTATTTATTCTCAATTATACCATTAAAGGGTTTCATGGACCGTCAACGTGGCGGTCAACATCTAGAATCGATATTATATCATGTATGCTCATCGCTAAAGATGCTAAACGCTACATCAAAAATCCGAAAACTGGAATGTGCCTCCATTGATCGGTATGCCGTCTCGGTTCTGTGTCCACTGATTTAACAATTTGAGTTTATCCAACCTCGTCAAATTCTCTTGCAAGGACGAACGAAAGTCGACGAGTGGCAGTGCAAAAATTAACTTTGTAAGAAGAAAAATATTTTAGCATTTACTTGTATACTAAATGTTTTTATTTTTTCACCGCATTGCACGCTGTAAAACGTAAATGATAATTGGAGCGTGCGATAATCGGAGATGCATTGTAATTTTACACTTGCGAACAAATCGATCAAGTGACCGTATAATTTAAATTGTTGCAGAAATTACCGAATAATTTAAATATAAGAAACTGCAAAAGTGAACGAACTTCAATAAGCTTTCCTACAAAAATATAAGCTCTCCAATCTGAAACATTTCTTATTTGTTATATTTTTTCCAACTATAGTCTCCGATTTTCTTTTATTTTTACATCGTTCGCACGCTCCGCTCCGAACTTCTTCATTGTGTGTGTGTGTGTGTGTGTGTGTGTGTGTGTGTGTGTGTCGTTATTTTATAACTTCTATTATCTCACTACGTATTCATAGTGTTCACTATGTGTCCATAACTGTTTCAAAAAAAAAAAAAAAAATTAAATATATAATTTATACACTTCACGTTAAAGAAAATATATACATAAATCTTTAATCGAATAATATATCATTTGAAATATTTAAAAGAGAATTCACACCTTGACGGAAAAGCAGAAACCAATCAGAACCCGCACTGGTAGTCGACAGTTTTTGCTTTATCTACCGCTTATTACCAGCGCGAGTTCTGATTGGCTTTTGCTTCTCTGTCAACATGTGAATTCACCCTAGATCGGTTAGGCGATCCTTTCCATTGTAAAGATATACTTGCGGATTCAACGCTTCGGCCAGAAGCAATCATTCCTGTGCTGCTCCTATGCTGTTGTACCGAAAAGATTATATCTTTATTCCCGGTACATTTCCTAATTTCTAAAGGTTTTAAATTTGTGACGTGCACAAGAGGTTCAAGAGAACCAGAAGTTAAAATATCGCATATTCCTCACAACTGCTTCAGTTTCTATAACACTGAAAAACTAGTTTTCATGTTAATAATTATTTCTTTACGCACCGTGTTAACAATTGGATTCAAATTGTTAAAGCATCATCCTCCGAACCGTGACGGCGACAAACAAAAATTCAATTTTTCTATCTGCAACTTCTCCAACGGCTGGATACGCCGAATATTTCAAAATAAAAACGCTTAAAAGTACATCGAACCGGCACAATTCCAGAAAAAGAATAAACGAAAGAAATAAGAACAAGTGTTACACATTAAAGATATGCAGTAGACTGTCGATTCTTAAAAATTTCAGTGTTGTCGGAAATCTCCGAGGAGGCGGCAAGGCGTTCGATCGTGCAAAAAGCCAAATTCCAAATCCGACTCTACTTCCGTTGGTAAGCTCGTGAGAAACACCTTTCCCCTTCTCAACTCAACATTGTTAATTTCTCTCGACGAGGTGTCGAAATTCCCACAAACTGATCTCTAGAATTCGAAATGATCGAAGCACGAGTTTAACATCCGGACGCCTCGGACCCCACCAAAATAGAACTCCCGTAAATTCTACGAGCTGGTTAATTAATATCGACAGTCTACCATAGCCGAATTGGGTCCACTGTCACACCAATAGGGACCCAATGGTAGGACCCGATAGGCGGGACCAACTTACTTACTTTTCATTTAGCCCGTACCCCGGCGGTTTTGTACCGCGGGAGGCGTCACTGCTGCACCGGCGTAGGCGGATACGGATATCCGTACGGCGGCATGGCCTGAAACTGGCTATAACCCATTGATTGGTACGCGCAGGCGCCGGCGTTCGGGGGCGGTCGGTTCGTCGTCTGGAAGAACTTGTTGTTCACGAGGTTCTGGATGCCGGAGTCAGTGTGCCCGCCGGATGGCATCATGAAGGGCGGCGGCATCGAGTACACATTGGGCCCGTTCTGACCGCCGTTGAAGCCGTTCTGCCGACTGTGAAAGCGATTACCCTGGTATCCGGTCCTGTTTTGATACCTGGGCGCGCTGCTGCTGGTCTGCTGATGGGTAGGTTGACACGCGTTGTTAGTAGCCTGATAGCCGTTCTGGTAGCCAGAGGCGGGCTGTCGTTGCTGATGTTGCTGTTGATAAGAGTGCTGTGGCTGATAATTGTTCTGGCGATTGGCTTGGTATCCGCCACCACCGGCGTTGCGTTGATGACGCACCATAGCCTTCTCCTGATTGGCCTGTTGGCTGTGGTGCTGGCTCACCTGCTGCGGAATGTGCTGACTCTGCCAGTTGTTTATGGTCGGGCTGATGTTGTTCCTGGGACTCCCGTGTGTGTTGTTGTCCTTGCCGCGTCCGTGGCTCCATCGCTGCCGCCCTTTGCCGTATTGGTTCCTCATGGAGTTCGCCATGTCCGCCAGCTGTGGATTTATAGCTTGGCCAGCTTCCTCCAATACCGCGATCAGCTCCTTCGCCTGTCTCGCGTTGTTCGGCGTGAAGTAAGCGTAGGCGGTACCCGCGCTCTGGCAGCGGCCAGTTCTGCCGATCCTGTGGATGTAGTCCTCGGAGCTGTTGGGGTAGTCGAAGTTGATGACGTATTTCACATCCTCGACGTCTAAACCGCGCGCCGCCACGTCAGTCGCGACCAAAATCATGGTTTTGCCATTGCGGAATTCCGACAGCACGTAGTCGCGCTCCGGCTGCGACTTGTCGCCGTGGATCGAAATGGCGGGCCAGCCTTCGCGCTTGATCGCCTTCGTGATGTCGTCCACCTTCTTCTTCGTCTCCACGAAGATGATCATCTTGCTGCCGCGCTCTGTCCCGATCTCACGCAGCAACTGCGACAGTTTAGACTCCTTCTCGTGCTCTTGGCATATCTCGATGATCTGCCGGATGTTGTGGTTGGCCGCCAAGGTCAAGGAGCCGATATTGATCTGGATGTAGTCGGTGAGGAAGTCCTCGGCGAGAGCCTGCACCTCTTTGGGCCAAGTGGCCGACCACATGAGCACCTGCCGGTCGGGCCTGATTTGTTCGATGATCTTACGAATCTGCGGCTCAAAGCCCATGTCCAACATGCGATCGGCCTCGTCCAGCACCAGATATGTGCATCTGCGCAGGTTCGTGGTGCCTTTCTCGAGGAAGTCGATCAACCTGCCGGGTGTCGCGATGCAGATCTCCACTCCGCGCTCAAGATCGCGGGCCTGAGGCCCCTTCGGCGAGCCGCCGAAGATGCAGGTGTTGCGGATGCACGAGGATGAGCCGAAGTCGCGTGCGACTGTCTGGATCTGTTGAGCAAGTTCGCGCGTCGGAGCGAGAATCAGAACGATCGGGCCGTCACCGCGGCTCAAGCGAGGCTGGTGGTTGATGTGCACGGTTGCTGGAAGGATGTACTGAAATGAGAAGAACGACAGAAATAAGTCCTTTTTATGAAATTGCATGATTTTTCCGCAAAAGTTGTAAAGAGATCAAATCGATGGACTTTAAATGATATTTTCAGCTTATATTTGACTAGGTATTTTTGTCAATTGTAGCAAGCCAAATCAACAGGGAGGATTATAGTAAAAGTTGCTGGTTACAATATCTATTACCCTTTCCCTTGGCAAAATAAGGGCAACAAACAATGACATAACTAGATTTGTGTCTCTTGCTGCGGAAAGCAACCAAAATAATCGATCGATTAAATAGTGTTGTGTTGTTGTACTTACCGCCAAGGTTTTTCCAGACCCAGTTTGAGCTATTCCAACGAGATCTCGTCCGCTAAGTGCAATCGGCCAACCTTGAGCTTGTATGGCGGTAGGTTCGGCGAATCCCTGCTTTCTGATTTCTTCCATCACATAATCCGGGAAGTTGCTCTCTTTAAACTCCTGGATCGGGAAAGGCGTATTATTGCCCTTAACGGTGATCTCTTTGCCTGCATGATACTTGGTAATCTCTTCGGGCGTTCTGTTCAAAACATTGGCATGAGGAACATATAAGTTCTTCTTGATCGGAGGCAGTGATCCTAGATCCCAGATAGGTTTCTTGAGCAAGTCTCCTGGAGTCTTCCTGTGATTCTGTTTCTTTGTACCATAATCTTTCTGGCCCTGCTGCTGACTGTTCCAGTAAGTCCCGCCACTTCCTGCGTTGCGATTACCATAGTCTCGACTTCCCCTAGGCCTATAACTGATAAAAGCCCCATACATACATCTGGAAGGATGAAATGTACAAGGGATTTTACAACTTAATTTCAAGCCTCTCTTATACAAAGTTGAGTGTGTATCTTTTTCTTCTTTTTTTCTTCCCTTTTATACAAAGGGTTCATCTTTCTTGGAACTCATGATACGCGTCCCTTCATGTGTCGTAACGATGAAGGACCGCTTCTGTCGCTTGAAATCCGCCGGGCACTAAGACTGTTAAGTCCGCCGGATAATTATAATGATTATTTTCTCACAGTCAGAAGATGGAGCGAACAGCTAGAGGCTCGCTACGCAAAATGGCGGCCGAACGAAGCAACGGGCCCGAGAGGAGCCCGACGGCCATGGCAAAAAAAAAAAGCGTTCTCTGAGCGTCTCTCAATGAGAAGCCGATTTCGGACGAGACTTGTCGCGAAAGACGCCCGTAGACTTACCTGCCGTGCGCAGAGTATCCGTTATTGTACATCGGAAGGCGTGTCGACCCGAGTCAGTAGAAATCTCGCTGGGCCTAGAAAGCTGTTAAAGTATGTCAGATCGTACGACGGTTGTCAGTTGGCGGTGGCAGGATTAGCGTTCGTCGAGATGGTAGCCGCCCCCGCGAACCACAGAACGCTGTCGCACGAGCGACGAGAAGCTCGCCAGCGAACAACTCGGCTCGGCAGCACGGCAAATCCACGGACTCAACCCACAGGAACCGGCGAACGGTGCTACAATGGCGGCGGTGGAGGCTTCCGCGAGAGGACGGAAGCGACCGACTAGACCATAGATGCGCTAGCTGGCTGAAATCAAGACGCGTCCCGCTCAAGTGGAGGGGGCACACAGAGGAGAGGGGAGCCACACACGCTTCGGCTGCTTCGTGTGCGCGCACATGGATGTGATGTATTTATAGGAAATATCCGCTCCACCCTCTTTTCTCGATGCGGCGGCCTTCTCGCATCAGGACGAATGCTCGGCAACACCGCCGGAGTAACATTTGCCTGACCAATCAGGACGAAAAGATACTCTCGTTAGGTTCCGCTTTGCAACGACGTTATTCCAGCTTTGTTTAACGTCCATGATGTGTTCCTTTTAGCTGAACTGGCTGCACTAGTCGAAGAAATTTATGCATATTGAAGCGTGAGAATCTCTGAGTACATACGCTTCAATGTATATTTCTTGAACTAGTGCAGCCAGTTCAGCTAAAAAAAACATATCACCAGTGAGAAACCAAGATAGAATGACGTTGGCTTTGGGAGTGTTATAAGTGCCCACAGATTTCTTTATTACGATTGGTTAATTCGACGTTATTCCACCCGTCGAGTAGGGGGTTTGGGACGTAATTTAAGGAAGGCTGTTTTATGCTTTAAATTCATCTTTAGCTTGGCGTCCAATGAAATGAGTCTCTCGAAGATGAATGTAAGGAGGCTTTAAATATAAAGTCCGGCAATGAATATCGGCATTAGTTCATGAGGATTTGCTTACTGCGTATGCGCAATGAGCAAAGTAAAATTTCAGGAACTCGCTCCATTATAAGGCATTCATATATTCAGTCATCTTATATTTAAGATTGCTTCAAACGCCATACAGATCGTGTCATTGGCTATGAAGCACAAACAACATTCAAAATGTTATGTGGATCCTATGCTCCAACTAAATGCGAAACTGCTGAAAGTCCTCATGTGGTACTGTGATGTATTTTACACATGCGCACGAGGATCTGGCCAAACAGATTCGTCGCCACCGTTTCGTGCGTCATCGACCGGAGGCTCCGAGCACGCGCTTTCCGCATGCACAGCAGAGCACGCTGCGCACGCATGCACGGAGCTTCGAGCCGATCGATGAACGGAACAGCCAAGCGTCAAAAAGCGCCCTTTCGTTAAAGTGATTTTGATGAGATACTATACATACTTGAATATTATACATATATTCAATATATATATATATATTGCACCATAGCGGCAGCTGATCAGATAGAATGATAATTGAATGGGTTATCTCCTTTTAGCGTCTATATACTAATAATAATCACGGCTGAAAAAAATATTCGTCAAACATGAACATGTTAAAATTTGGTGTAAAATATGAAGCTGGCCAACATGCATACGTATGGGTTATTACAGTTTGGATTCCCGGACGCAACTTTAGTGTTCGCAAGCTCCGTGAACACCCAGAACATTGCATAGCACACGAATATCGTACATAATATTCATAATTTTGTTCGTAATGGACAGTTGCGTGGAAATAAGGTGTGTTGATAATGAAAACGAGTTGCGATATTTGGCCTAATCTAAAAGAAAAATTTAACCTAACTCGAAGAAGAATAGAAGAAGATGCAAAACGACGCAGTAATTGGTCTGTTCTTTTTAACCGCATTACCGCAAACTGGTGCGTTAAGTTAGAGCGAGACAAAATATACTTGTCTCATTGTAAATTATTGAACCGGTTCAGCTAAGACCAAATGTCGTTCGCACGCTATCGTTTTCACACTGTTGGTCCCACGAATAGCGTATTGCGTTTATAGCCTCCGCTGCATGAAATGGCCAATTTCTGCCCAAAGAACGCGCGGCGGATATTCGCGCGATAGCCAATAAACTTCTTAGCGAAAAACGGCATGTTGATTGGCTACCGCACAAACTTCCACCTCGCGTCTTGTGGGCGGAAGAAGGCAATATTCGGGCTCCCTTTATTATATATGCCAAAAGAACGCACCCTCTTCTTCTCGATGGGAAAGATATATATATGTCGGTATTATCAGCGAAATCAATTAATGAAGCCATGATCAACATAGTGGCGCTCCGAGCGCCTCAAATGTTTCTTGTCATTGATGTTCCGCTCTCTGTCGTTCGAACGCTAATTATGCTACAAGGCGAAGTTGACGACCGTTCGTGATAATTACAAACAGCTTTGTCATTCAACGACTTCTCGTGTTTTTATTATCTTGTTATATAAAAGATTAAAGTTCATCCCGCGGCTTATATTTACCAGCGTGTCTCGAGTGTTCCGACAGTCTTTGATCCGCGTCACTACGTAGTCTCTTATTTGGACTTCACCAAATTTTGACAAGATTTCCAACGTGTAAACAAGTGGCTGCAACGTATCCATTCGGCAGGAATTTCGAAGTAATGAAAATGGTACAGAAAACGAACGTGTACGTGATCGGCGCGGGAATGACGAAATTCGAGAAGCCCGGCAGGCGGGATGACTTTGACTACCCGCAAATGGCCAAGGAGGCGGTGAGCAAGGCCCTCCAGGACGCGCGAATCCCATACGATGCTGTGCAGGCTGTCTGCGTCGGATACGTCTACGGCGATTCCACTTGCGGTCAAAGGGCGATCTACGAGATCGGACTCAGCGGGTGTCCCATTTACAACGTCAACAACAACTGCGCCACCGGATCTACCGCTTTGTACCTCGCTAAGCAGATCATCGAGGGCGGGAATGTGGATTGTGTGTTGGCATTGGGCTTTGAGAAAATGGAGCTTGGCTCATTAACATCAAAATTCATGGACCGTACGCACCCTATGGACAAACACATCGAGCTAATGGCAGACATTACTGGTAAGCGATTAATCACAAAGTATAGAATAGCACGAGTCAATTGGAAATATAATTTAAGTAGAATTTTCGACATACACGTGGTGGAAGTTAAAAAATCGACTCTCAGATAGTGCACTTACAATTACTTGATTACAGGTATATCTGAGGGCCCTATCACTGCTCAACTATTTGGCAATGCTGGCATCGAGCATATGAAGAAATACGGCACCAAGCCTGAGCACTTTGCGAAGATCGCCTACAAGAATCACCTGCACTCCACGAACAATCCCTGTTCCCAGTTTCAAGAAAAGTACACCATGGAGCAAATCATGAATTCTCCACGAATATTCGGGCCACTGACGAAACTCCAGTGTTGCCCGACGTCTGACGGCTCGGCGGCTGTCGTTCTGGCCAATGAGGAGTTCGTCCGAAAGCATCACTTGGAGTCGCAAGCCGTCGCGATCCTGGCGATGGAGATGAGCACTGATTTGCCGTCGACATTCAGCTCGCGCTCGATCATGAACATCGTCGGGTATGAAAGAAAAGAGATATTTCACACGATAGAACGGATCGATAGTTCGCCAATTTGCAGGTACGACATGACGAGGAACGCGGCCGAGAAGGTCTTCGCGATAACCAAATACAGGCCGATAGACGTGGACGTGGTGGAATTGCACGACNGACGTGGTGGAATTACACGATTGCTTCTCCGTAAACGAGCTGATCACTTACGAGGCCTTGGGGCTTTGTCCACCCGGACACGGTGGGAGACTGGTGGACTCCGGCAACAACACGTACGGCGGTAAGTACGTCGTGAATCCCAGCGGCGGTCTCATCTCGAAAGGACACCCTCTGGGCGCCACCGGATTGGCGCAATGCGCCGAGCTCTGCTGGCAGCTTCGCGGACAGGCCGGCCCGAGGCAGGTACGCGGCGCGAAATTAGCATTGCAGCACAACATAGGCCTAGGCGGCGCTGTGGTCGTCGGCCTCTATCGCTTGGGCTTCCCGGAACATGGGATAATGAGGAACAATGTGAACGTGCACGCGAATCCGGAGATATTCCAAGCGAACGTGCTGTTCAAGTTGCTGCAGATCGCAATGCAAGAGGACGAGGACAGCATGATCGAGAAGGTACGCGGCGTTTACGGCTTCAAAATCACGAACGGTCCGGGTGGCGCCGAGGGCTTCTGGATCGTGGACGCCAAGGCCGGTAAAGGAAAGGTCGAGTACAACGGGAAGACTAAGCCCGACGTCACGTTCACGATCAGGGATACCGACATCGTGGATTTCATATCCGGGAAATTGAATCCGCAACAGGCCTTCTTCCAAGGTAAGGTGAAGATCCAAGGGAACATGGGCCTCGCCATGAAACTGCCGGATCTGCAGCGACGCGCCGCCAAGAAGATTGAACTTCTGCGTGCGAGATTGTAAGCAAGCTCCAAACTTTTTGCTGAAACGAGTGGGGAGCAATTATTCAAGAGATATCACGCGAGATATTTTACATAATTTCAGGTATATCGATCGAAAACGCAGTCTTATCTTTCGCGTGCTTTTTCATTATCAGACAACATTCTGCTGTTGTACCGTGTAATCTTATATTTGAAGTTATCGGATTCCTCCAATTTTTAATCGGAGTAAATAGATGTGATCGCGAAATTTACACAGACTTGTCTCTGTACATATATGTTAACGAAAGCAGTTTTCAATGAATAGTAATTGTAAACAACTTCTGATACCGGCGGCAAATACATACGAGGGTATCAATACGGACGCTGTACAGTTTGTAAATTCACATACGATGATATTATTATTAATTCAATGCACACAAGAGCGTTATGCAGATATAGAACATATTCTGATGCTTAAATATTTTTATCTCGTTCTCAGAGTACACGTCGCACATTTTTTCTTAAATTGTAAGGCCAATCGCGTCGTAATTCGTAATCTTAAACTGTGACTTTGAACTCGACAATCGTTTGCCTGAAAAGTATTCCTCGTGGACGTCAGGAGTGCGAAGAAAATGAGTCGTATAAGATGCAAAGTATAAATGCTCTATTAACATAATAATCGCATGCTATGATAAGCAACTTGAGTGAGGCGCGTCATGGGTGTAAACATAAGAAAACGATAACCAACAGCTCATCATTGGAAGAATTATAGTAGACAAAAAAGACGATGTCGACGGAGTCGTTTAATACGCGCGTGATATCTCTTTCGAGATTATTTAGCACGCTTTAAGGAAGCGCTAAATGCATTGTGACTGCATTCTATAAATTATTATAAATTACTTATACGTCGGTTATTTTTTTACTACACGATTCTTGAGCTAATCGTGAATCGTTACAATGTTATTGCAACATTGCTCCCTGAAAGGTACGATTATATATACATTGCAGTTACGTAAATTGATCGATACAAGTAGATCATGAGTCCATTTATCGTCTGTTATTCCAAACAGGGTGTAACTTCTCGGGGGACGCTGCGTATGAAAAGTGAAATTTCAAGCGTGAAATTCTTTTATTAATCGTTAGACATTTCGTTGATAGCGATTATAATCGATTTATCGATTTGTGCGTATAATTGAAAAATTGCAAAAAAAACGTGAATTTTGCTCGAGAGAGATTTCAAATAATTGAAAACATTATTTTTATGTAAATCTCTCCAGGAGATCAAATATAGGGTCTGCATATGATACACGCACAATGGTCGTGTTTTAAACGATATAAATTATATATCTTTTTTGCAAAAATGTGTAAGGGAAAGTTGTTATTCCCCTTTCGTGCGTTGTGCTCGCTTTTCAACGAGAGTATTTTACAATTGTTAAAAATTCATCATCATCATCATCATCATCGTTATAATTTCAAGGAGAGATACGACCCCTTCTTATAGGTGGAAATTAGATTTCGTATGGGTATACTACATCAGAAGGTTATAGATAAATATACGATTAATCTAGTTTTATATCTTTATGAACAACGGAGACAAATCTCACGTTGCGCGAATGCGATCACAGATCGTTTCGCCCACGTACTGACGAAAATGCCGGGATATCGTCGTCATACCTCCGAATTAATCACCGAAGCTTGAAAGTTACCGTCTCTCTCGCCCGAATGAGAAACGGTTGGTGTTTTCCATTTTCACACAATTCCATTTTCACAAGTCGTCAAGCATCATTCTATCTTTGTTATTCGTTGAATGCGGGACAAAGACAAAATAACGTTTGTGTCGACTTGTGTCACCAAATGGAAAGGTAATTCCCGGCGACGGTTAATCATCGTTTATTGCAACTGATTGGATTAATGCCTCGAAATAAATGTAATAACCTATTATATACTGCATTTATCATTTTTATACTATGTGAGGGGAACCGGTGCAATGTTCACGGTGATATATATTAATAAAAATGTTCTGGAAACAATCACCACTCTCTCTTGATCTCTCCACTTCTAGTCTCGCCTCTTGTGAATTTTTTTTCAGAGAAACTCTACAGGGAGATGTGATATCATATGTGATACTGTGAAAGCATTGGTATTACCCATAGATGTATAATAATTAGACCGCGCGGTCTCAACATTTGTTTGAACATGTCAAAAAGTGGAAAGAGATAGTATCGTTCCGTCTACAGATGCTCTTATTTCATTGGCCACGAAGCATCTGAAGAATGAAACTTAAGACGGTCTTAAATATAAGATCCGATTATGAATACCGGCCTATCTCTTTCTAATCGAATGTGAAGAAAGAATAATTAACTGTGATTAATGAATTTCTTAAAATAGCTATTGTGTAGACCGGGACTCGAGAAGAACTCTGTGTCAAGGAGGTAGCGAGTGTATGGCCGTGTTCAGCAGAACGTTTAGTTTGCAACTGTTGGAAATTTCCTGTGCTAACATTGGATTATTCCTGTAGATCTAAAAGAATAATCCAATCTCAGTTCAGAAAACTTCCAACGGTTGCAAATTAAACGTTCTGCTGAACGTGGCCTATCAGCAGGCGATTAGTGAATAATACTGCGCATTCGCAAGATGGCCAGCTGTCGTTTCTTCGCCTGGATACGTGCGCGCGTGTGTGCTACCATAATATTGTTTTCCCGCTTCTTTGTGGAATTTTCCTCATTGTGCGTGCGTGGGATTCGTTTCCTTTTTGTCGTTAAACTTTAGAAGACTAAGAACTAGTGAAATATGCACATTCCTCAAGTGTTTGAAATATTATCCAATCATTTGGGATACTAAACTGACGGAATTTTCAAACAAACCGCTGCGAGATCAACATATAGCAATGTTGCTCAATAATCTTAAAAAATGTAACCTGAGGATAAGCGAAGAAGAGTTCAAATGTAAATTCAATTTCTTATGTGATACATTTTCTTAGGTAGGAAACGTTGTTGTGTAAAATAAAAGCTTTTCGTTAACCTTTTGACTGCGAATATCTTCATCGTCAAAAAAAGTACCTCTTTGTCGCATACATACACCGTATGTTTTCCTCGCTCTTCATTTGCATACAAAGGCCGTGTTCCGATATACACTGGCAGTACTGAGAAATTGTTATCAGCACGCGATGTGCTGCATCTAGTCAACAACGTCAGAAGTGATAGCCATGTTGCCAATGCCAGCATTGCGAGTCAATTGCAGTGCAATGTGGCGTCGTATAGACATGGGCAGGAAGTAGATTTATCAGATGTAGAAACGTTCCGAAATTTATTACCAAAAATTTATAATTTATGTTACAGATAGATTTTCAGCAATAAATATCGCAATGCAGCCGGTGTTTGTCCATCGCGTTTCTTACAGTCCACTGCAGTGCTATTGCGAAATTCACAATACTGCTGCCAAAGCAATTTCAAAACAGCTGGTACTATTATGATTTCGTAGTTGCACTGCCGGTGAAAAAGGAACACACTCTGTATACGGCGCGGCATAATGGCTGCAAATTCGATATAAATATTAAATATTATTTACCCACTATTTATTTTATTATCACTAATGCATAGAATATGCCTATCCTAGTGCCGCACACCGTTTTCTTTGTTTAGCGCGTCGCAGTCAAAGAGTTTAAAACCAAGAAAACGTAGAATTAATTTATTTACAGTCATCAAATAAATTAAAACTATGGTCCGAATGATCTTAAGGAAATATTTATACATTTCTGTGGGCCTATGTGGTATGCATATTTGCCTTACACATTTTTAAGGTTGCAAACAAATTTATTCACAGTTCAATAACTTTTAATTATATAGCTTGAATAAGACATGGGGAGGCTTTTATGCATTTATTTTTTGTCCTTTATATATCGCTAGTGTATTTCTGTTTATATTGATTTGTGAAGGCTGCAGATAATTAAGCTCAATTGATGTAACGCTATTTACAGTAGATAAAATGTAACTTTCAAAACTATAGGCAAGACAATTACGTCCTAAGCACTATAATGAAGCTTCTTGACCTATTATTTTTTTCTTTTATATATTTTTCTTTCGGAAGTGCGTCATTATTGAACATTCTTATTTTCACGAAGGAATCCATTTAAAAAGTCAAATATTGCTTAAGAATTAAAATCATTCAATAAAATAAGTAAAGGTTCTTGTAAATAATTAATAACGCTTAGAAAACCGTTAATTGAAACTTGGTTTCTATTTTCATAATACGCTTTAGGAACATTAAGGATACATACAGGAGGGAAGAACTTCACAAGGTGAATAATAGCAAGAAAAATGGAACAAATTCTTTGTACACCCCAAAATTGAATTGATATAATCAAGCGGATTCTTTTCTACGAAAAACCGTCGATGTCAGAAGACGTACAAGGAAATCATTATCAAATACGGTAAGTTTCTTTTAAAGAATTATAAACTTGGACAAATAAGTAAAGCTACAGAAGCTTTGATCTACAGAAGTCTTAAATCTCAGAAGCCTTAAATCTACAGAATAAATTAGATGTAACTCTGAATCATTACTCAGCAATTTACTATAGTGCAAAAAAAGAATAAAATCATCAGGACCTGCTTTTTCTACAAGGTTTTTGATTTTCTATCGCATTCAGATATAAATATATATGTTTATCATAGTTTCTTTCATAGAAATCTCTTCCAATCTTCTTCAACTGTCAGGAAAGTGCTTCTTCCCCAATAGGATGCTCAATATACCGCTCAATATACCGCTTTCCTCTGCATCAAATATATAGTTGTCCTTTTTAAATTAACTACAGCAAATTCTCCCATTTATCCTTGCCATTGTCCTGGAATAACATCTTTAGTTGGTTGGGTCTTCAACAGATTTGGGTGATAGGTATGTTGATACAGAAATCTGTATGAGCTAATTATGGGTTGCATATACAGTCCAAGCAACTTTATCCACCCTGTCTGATTTATTGCTCGCAAGAACACATCAAATCTCTTCATATTAAGATGCCTGAAGTATTTTCAGAAATNTTTTTTTTTTTTTTTTTTTTTTTTCAGTAACTTCCTGCTATAAAGTTTCAAGAGATTGAGAGGGAACGCATAATTTTCAATAATTGCTGCATTTTCAGGGAGACCGATTGAATTATTCTCCAATCCCTGATTAAGAGTCGAATCACTGACAGCACTGTCACTTGCTCGACTATTTGCTCCTATGTCAATAAAGTTATTGTTATTATCTGCCATAGCAAACAAAATAATGCTATAGATTCCTTTATAATTGAAGAATCCAAGGCCGCTATTGGTTGGACATACGTCTACATCCGATGTGCTCTCGATGCCGTCAATGGCGCCTGCATAATTGAGAAAGTCCTATCGTGTCTCAGACCCTTTCATTGTATGCTTCCATTTCTCTGGTATAGTTGGTTCCTGAAAAAAAAAACGCAAATTGATTAGAAATCAGAAATTGTGAGTTTTTTTTTTATATTTAATGAAATATCTATTATTCATTGGCAGGATGAAGATCCAGCAAAAGAGAGTCAAGAAGAGGACTTTTGCGAGGAGTTTGAAAATTATGATGACACTGAGCTCTTGACAGTCCATTATCCTTACTTGGAAATTTCTCAGAAAGAAAGTAAAGATAATGTCACAGACGCTACATCAGACCGTATCATTCTGGGGCAGAAAAGAGAGGATGAAACCGATCAGAGAAGATGCAACATACCGGGTTATATATTGGGGAAGATCAATAAAAGCAAACAAGTTAATCTGAAGCGGGAGCAACTGACAAGTCCAACTCTCGGCAATAATTTACAAAACACCATGGAACACTTTGACAATATTGGTTCAAAGATGAAAAACACAGAGAATTACCAACTTGGCCTATACGTGGCCTCTCAACTCAGTTCTTTGTCCCCTATTTGGTCAATCAGGCTCAGAAGTGAAATTCAAAATGTTATTACAAAAGTTGTCTAGAAATCTCTGTCTGATGCACATTCTTAACACTAAAACCAAAGCGGTCAAATGACCGGTTTATAATTGTTTCTTATAAAAGTTATTCCAGTTTTTAATGGTACATTATCTGAAATTAACCGTAATCTTTGTCATAATATGTAACCGAATAAATATTTTTTTTTTCGCATTACATTTAAAAAATCTTATTTAAACTGCTCCGGTAGGAAGGTACACGTTAATCGTCGGTAGTTTTGGTGTTAAAGTAGCAAAGTATTTTTCCAAAGTATTTTTCTCCGTTCTACCAGTAACGTCTTTCATGAGACGCGTCGAACTATTCTTCTGTTTTCAGTCATCACTCCAGATTTCTTACTTCCCACACAAATGCGGGGCCAACTGAATGCATCAACAAATGCTTTGTCTTCAATGTAATACAAAGTAAATTAATGAGCAAGTATGAATAGAGATTCAATAGGCGAAACAAACAGCATTGTAACTCATGCGACTGTCTTATCTGAAAACTTAACATACAAATATATATACACATAAATATTGTGTAAATGTTGTGTAGCATAGCGTTATCACTGATGTACTTCTCAGAACGGGACGCAATAAACGAAGATGCAGAGCAAATGGAAAATGCTCTGTTGTAATGTTTTACGGCTGTAAGAATAAGAACGGCTGTAAATACGAAACGAAGGAACGCTGACTGACATTGCATCATATAAACAGATCAAATTGAAGATCTGATTAAAAAAAAAATATCGAAACAAAGTAGTAATATGAATATCGAAAAAAATATCGATACAAAAATAGCAGGGATTGAAAGAAAAATATGGACACCGCTATTACATCCCTACTACCCGTATAACACACAAGACGTCCAGAAGAAATATTCTGTCTCGTCCTTAGGGATGTAAAGGGTCCTTTCGCTCTGGAATCGATCTTGCTTGCCGAAAAATTCCTCGCTCACGAATTTCTCCGGAAGAGAACCAACAGCTTCCCTCGGATCGATCTTTCCACCGTCGAATCCGTCCGGAACGCAAACGACAATCGGTCGTTCCCGAGAACGCTCCAGGAGGAAGCGGTCGGTGCATCGTCAACGCGCGCATCTCTAGGATAGACTCGCCGGGGGACTCTGCGATCACGCCGCGTCGTCTCTCTCGCGCGTGTAGCACGCGCTTCCTCTATATTTATAGCTAAAGATAAATATACACCTTGGCGTAGGTCCAATCGCCCGTATATCCACACACGCAGTTCGGCTACGGGAAACGGACAAACCCCGTAATAGCCAGCTGTGTCAGTGCTATTAGTGACGTCGCGCGCGACGTAGGTAGAGGAATCGCGAACGGATCGGTTAGGGGGAAATGCACCGGGGGTGAATTCTCCGTCGAGCTCTCTCTCTCTCTGACGACCGGAAGCTAAGGCAACGCGCGAGTGCTGATCGAGATTACGAGATGCGTCCGCTCAGGATGGAAGTGACTCCGTGCGCCGCGACGAGCGCCCGTTTCTGACCGACCGGCGTCTAGGATAAATTTAATTCCCACCGAGCCGCATTTGGGTTAATATCGGGTGCCGATTGAGTGAGTAGAGCGTTGCAACGATATTGCGTAAGAGCTTCTTCATCGGACGGTGAGATCTCGCTCTTACGAAAATCGAGGGAAAAAAGGCGGCGTGGCATTGAAATTTTATAAATAAACCGCCGGTGTGTGCCTGACGCATGGTTCCCCGAGTGTCACGGTTGTCTGTCGCGCACGCATGTGTCCGCATTGTCCGAGATATGCGCGAGGGAGAAGCGATGCGTCGGAGAGCTGAAGTAGCTAGCGAGGTTCGCCGACCGATTCAGCGCGTTTCGCTCGATTCTTCTTCGATTGCGCGGTAAACAACAATGTCGTTGAGGCGGACGGTAACGACATGCAATAAAGATAAGCGATAAATTCAGCCGCGTTTGTCCGTCCCGCATTTTCTTCCGCTTCGAGCGCAGATGGTATGAAAATTGCGATTAAAAGGTTTGATCTTCGCGTACAGGATGCACTCCATGTATTCGTCCAAAAAAGGCGACCCTCTCTGCCCGTTGGGCTTCCACCCGCAAGTTCGGTGGCCGACACGTTGCAAACGGTGCTTCAGGTAATTAATCTGGAATTAGATCAGGCACGATCGGTAAGACAATGAATACCAGACGGTGCAACGTTTAAAGTCGGAACGTCCGTTTTCAAGTAAAACTTAGTTTCCCGATCTTATGTTGTCTGGAACGCGCGTTTCGAATAAACAATCACTCCCTCAGGGACTACAAAGAGCATGGCGGGAGGAGGAACAGTCTCGGAGACATCACGGCTTCGTCTCCCAGCCTCTCATCGGACTCGCGGTAGGTTCGTCGTAGATTACAAAATGCTTATTGCATTACATAACGTGCATTTGTTGTCGGCGCGACTGTCGCTCGTGGACTTCCGTGTTCTCTCCCACAAATGTTCAAAAAACATACCTACAGACGTTTCAGAGATATTCGAACATCTCTTGGATGTCTCTCTTGAACATTTGACATTAGTTATGCAAGAAGGATCCAACCCACATGGAGTATATTTGGAGACAAATTTAACACGTGATTTAAAAAGTAACACTGAGATTCTTCACAATTGATTGAAGTTGAGTCACTTTCTTCTTTTTGTTGGCAAGCTTAAGAAGTGGGTAAAAAAGAGAACTAGTGGCAAAATTAATAGATAATATTTTCAATTAATCTCAGGCATCTATAAAGCTCGGATCTTTTTGTTTCATGTGGAAAGACGTGTAAACTACCTGTTGGTAACAAAAATCTTAATTTTGTGGATTGGATCCTTCTTACATAACTATTTGCGTTACACAGACTGACAAACATATGAAAATGTCATTAAATATATTGTCGTTTAATTACATTTAGTTTTGGCGTTTAGCGAGAATATATAAAAAATGATGATAATAATCTAACCTTTTTCATCGAGTCAGGTCGAAAAATATTCTTGTGGACTACGTTTTTGAGCCCACGTGCCGCCATTTCTACAGGTCGTGGGTGTTTTCCTTTTATCGAAATCGCCGGAGATGATTTTCTAGATCAGTGTTGTTTGATAAATATTTGGTCCCTGATAGCTCCTTGTGCAATCTCGTGGACGCACACTTTTACTCGATTAGACGAACGCAAAATCTCTCTGTCGTTCAGCTCTTGATTTGTCGGTAGAGACGACGGAGACTTTGGAAGACTGATAAAAGTCACTTAGCCGAGATTCAAGCCTCGCTTGGCAAAGACTCGATTTAAACCCGTCAGACGTAACGGTTTCTAACGACAAATCGAGGCGGTCAAATGCAGGCTAAGATTCGAATGGTACGAGCAAACGGCGGATGAGCCGACCGTTTTGTATCTCGATGGTATGGATAGTAGTCAAATGCGGCGCGATATGGGGAAATTTTCGAATATCATAGAAAAATTGATTGTTGTATCGCAATTGAATTTTGAAGTGGCTCCGAGAGCAAAAGGACGTGGTCTTCCGCTACGAACTTGGCGAAAGATGAAACCAAGAATAATTATTCACAGCCGGCGGCGTCGGCTGGTTGGACATCCCTGATGGATCTCTCTACCATAGATAAGAATTCGGATGATTCCCACAAATTAGAAGGTGATTAAAATGCGAGATATTTGCCCAGTGAGTGCGATAGCTCAACAATATTTTTTTTTCTTTCCAACGATATCACCATTTTATACCTTTTGTAATAATGCTTTGACTATTTACGTGCTAACGCAGACATCAGGAAGCCGGCTAAGCTGCAGATAAAGAACGTGATAAGCAACAGCAGCAACGGAGGCACCTCGGAGAACGACGTGGAATTTATAATTCAGGTATCCCCCGGCCGCTTAACCCCGCTAATGCATGGAATGCTCTTCTCTGTTGTTGTAATAAACAGCACAAAGGAAAAAAAAAAAAAACACGCATGCAAACGTCTACCTAAGTAAGAGAACGCCCTCTCTGAAGGATTCTTACAGGTCTTGACACGATTTAGTTGTACCGCAGACGGTAGAGTAGAGCGGCATTCGATGATAACGATGTGTTCGTGTGAAATTCCGTTGTCTTTGCGCTCTCATTTTTGTCACACCACTTTAGGTAAGGAAATCACGGCCGGCACCGCCGAAACAGGTGGTCCAAGATGGGCTGGATAATGTCACGGTAAAAGGACAGGAAACCGAGCAGGTGAGACCGCCGACACTTTTTCGTTAGTTTGACGTACACGATTTTAATTGTATCTTGATACATATCACCACGTACGCACTCTTGTACATGCAAGACGATCATAGTAATGTTGTCTATCGTGAATTGCGAAACATTCGCGATATCCCCCGCCAGAACTTCCGTTAAATGCACCATATTTATTTTACGTGTTAATTAACTCGTTCGATTATTAACCAACTATGTATGGTCGTGCAATATTATGTGTCTTTTGTATAATACAAATAAATATTTTTTCTCCGAAGAAGTTCCCAGTATTCTTACAAAAAAAGTATATTACTGGCTGTGATAAATTGGCCAGCGATCGTTTCTTGGTAGTTTCTTATTGCTAAAACTATTGATCGATAAGGCTTTTCTGTCAGAATATGAGTATTTATGTATTTATTTATTGAATTATTCATTGATTAATTCTGCATATATTTAGCCCCCTCTAACGGAAAAGAGATTTATGTTACACGCGACGCGATGCGCTCATAAAGATACGAATTCAGCGTGACTTTAATAATCGTATGTGTTTACGAATTATTTGGAGCCGAGGGGATTAAGCACGATTAAACGTGAGTAACGTAATCTCAAACGATTAACGGTGACACTTGCTCTTAGCAGAACGAGACGGAAAAATTGCGGTCTCAGTTGAACGACATGAAAGCGAGATGTGAGAAGGCGGAGAAGGAGAAGAGCGAAATACTGATGCGTCGTTTGACGACTATGGAGACAATGTCGAACAAAACGTCGACGAGCGAGGTGGCGAAGTTGCAGAAGAAGAACGAAGGTATTCCTCGAAATGTCTTTGCGCTCAACGACGATATGACGGCCGCACTGTGTTGCAGCACTCGTGCAAGAGAAGAACGTGTTGCTGTCGAAGATAAAGGGTCTGGAGAAAGAAGCGAATGTTAAACCGTACAGAGGGGAGAAGGACGAACTGCGATCGAAGCTGAAGGCCGCGGAAAACCTCTGCGAGAGCTTGATGGACGAGAACGAGGACATGAAGAAGGAGATCAGACAATTGGAAGAAGAGATCTATGAGCTGCAGGACAATTTCAGGTACGGCTCGCGAAGGGAGCTCTTTCATTTAACACGCATGCCACGTTCTACAGTTTTCTTCGACATTTCGCAATCTCATTCGTTACTAACAGCGAAATAAGACTCGCCGCTGTGAGACTTTCTGTAATTAAACAATAATTGTCGTTTTAACATCACGGGATGATAATCGGTATCTCTGTTCCTTTCAATAGATGCCACATTCTGAGCAAAAAGAACCGATGTCTCCGGAACTTTTATGACGAGAAGAATTCTGCGCGTAAAAATTGAGAATCTATACGACGACTCGAGCAGAGATCAAAATGTTTTTTTTTTTTTTTTTTTTTTTTTTTTTTTTTAATACAAAATGAGCTGTGTGGATTGTTGCAGGACGCGAGACGTATGTGATCCCAACACGACGGCATCCTCGCTTTTCGCCAAACATGGAGACCGTTGGGTGGGGGTACCTTTGTTTGGTAATCACGAAATCCGTGAACTTTTTTTGCCGTTTTTTGCCGTAGTACTTTTCTGGGATCACATTCACTTTTTTTGCCCAATCTCAGGAAGTCGAAGTAGCGAGATTGTGAAAGAATTACGTTTTCAAATTTCGCAAGAATTAAGGAATTTTTCTGTCGTATCGCTCTGCTATCGTAGACTTGTATAAAACTTTTTCACGCGCCTTTAGGAAGGAACAGAGATACTTAAAATACGACGAGTCGAATACATTTGGAGTGCACGTTCTACATGTGTTGTTTATCGTATAAATATCATTTTCGTACGGTAAGGGATGAACAAGCGGACGAGTACACGCGTTTGCGAAAAAGTTTGGAGCAGTCCAATAAAAACTGCCGGATATTGTCGTTCAAACTGAGAAAAGTAGAGCGCAAAGCCGAGGAATTAGAAAGCGAGCGGTCCGCTCTGGAGAAGAAATACGAAGAGGTGAATTTTCAACACTAATTTATTTTTCGACATATTTATCATTTCTATATTTGTGATATTCTTAGGTGAAGAAAACGGAAGAAGTTCTGCAGAAGGTAAGCAGCGCATTCCAGAATAGAACGCAAAAGAAGCCAACGGACCTCACGACCAAAGTGCAACTTAAAAAGATGGTCGATGAAGCGGAGAAAGAAATAGGTAAATAAGATTTGCACTGTTTTCGCAAAAAATCCGGCATTTTATATTACTCAGTTATTAACATTTCAGAAGACATGCTCGGGATTTTTACCAACATAAAAAATGGACATAACGTGGACATACCGGACGTGAAACCGAAGGAAAATAACTTGAAATACGATAAACTCCTGAAAGAACACGAGCAGCTTAAAGAAAAATTCGAGACTGCTGTAAAGGAATTGACTAGTGAAAAGGAGAGGAAGAAACCGAATGTAAAAGCGGAAGACACGAAAAACGCGGATATGCAAAGTAGTACACTTTTTCACACACTCGTTTTACAACTAGGATTTACACAACAAGAACCGTACGTATGCAACCTCAAAATTGTTACAGTGAAAAGAAAGTTGGAGGAGGCACTTGCTTTACGGGAAGCGGAGAGAAAAGCGTGGGACAAAGAAAAACTGGCACTCTCGGAGGAAAAGGAGAAACTGAAATCTAAACTTCTATCGTTGTCCGCGGAAAAATTGAAAATTTACAATGAGGTTGTACAACTAAAGAAAGACCTCGGTAAAAGAAACTTGAGCCCTTCATTCCAATTGTATTAATTGTTTGATATACCTGAATGATGAATCTTAAATATTCATTCTATTATGTATTTAATAAGTACAAAAACAATGGATTATACAATTTTTGTTGAAATGCAGAAACGGCTAAGACGTCAGAAAAGGATACGGCAAAGATGGAGGCAACAATAAGCGAATTGAATGAAAAACTGTCTGAGGAAGAAGAAAAATGTAAGAGGCTACAAGACGATCTGTCGTTGTACACTGAAAGAGAATCGAAACTCTTGCAATCGATAACATCCGTAAGTAAACACATATTTTAGTACTTTATCCGTTTGTCAATCATGTTGTTACTTTTCATCGATACAGATAGAACAGAGCAAAGGTAAGCTCGATGCTGAGGTAAAACGTTTAAAGAAGGAATTGGAAAACACAAAATCCTCCACATCAACAAAGATCACGGATCTAATTGCCGAAGTTACAAAATTCAAGCAGGAAAGTGAAAAGTTAACGTCACAACTTGACGGTGAGAAAGAAGCGAAAGAAGCTGAAATAGCCGATCTCAACAAGAAGATTGTTTCCTTGGAAAAGTCTGGGCAGAATACAAAGCGCATGAATGAGATGAAGCAGACATACAATGAGAAAATTTTGAGTGAAGTATCATTACTTCGAAGAATCATATTAATTTGAGATAAATAAATAACACACTTGTACTGTAAAGTTTATCATATGAATTACGCTTAGACTTTTATTAAATGAGGCGATGACATTTATTATAAAATAAAATTTTCAGATCTCGAGAATGAGATAAAGAAGCACGAACAAGAACAGCAGACTTTGAGAGAAAAGTATCGAGAGCTTAGCAGCTCAAAGCTACAACTTGAAAGGGAAAATGAATCTCTGAATAGGTAAACAGCAATTCAACACTAACAGTGTGAGGAGTAAGAATTCACTACCAACAATGTCAAATGCCTCGTATGTCCTCTTTCATTTAATCTTTATCGTTTCATTATAGCGAGTGTTCGAAGCGCAAGAAGGATTTCAATAATAGTCAAGCGGAACTCGAAGACCTACGTAACTCGATCAGAACGAAAGAGAGCGAATGGCGATTAGAGAAAACTTCACTCGAGGTGCGTAAGTTCCACATATATTGGCTATTACAGTTAAAGTGTTATTTCTTCGATTTACAATTCTAGAATCAGATTCGCGAGAGCCAGCTACCGAACAAACTTATTGTAAATGAACTGAACAATGATATCAATACGATAAAGAAGGAAAATTCCACTCTGCTGGAACGGTTGGAAGATACGAGGAAAATAGTAAGCGATACAACAGGATATCCATAATCCCTAGATTCATTAAGAATTTGCCTCTCTATTGCAAAAAAAAAATTCGCAGAACGACGATCTCTCTGCAAAATTGAAAGATTACGAAGCGGTGTCCAAGATTCATCAAGTATTGACACCCGACACGACGGCACTGGAATCAGAGATTCGTAAATTGAAGAATGCCCTGACGAACACGGAAAAGGCGAAGAAGGCGGACCTGGCGCAGTGTAAAATGCGCTACGAGCATAGAATCACGGCGATCAACGACGAAATCCAGACGATTCAGAACCAATTGTCACGTTACAAACGAGAACGCGACACTTACAAACACATGTTGGAGGGTGCGCAAAAAACGATAGGAGAGCTGAAGTCTGCGAGACAAGGCAGGCTATCCAGTGCATCTTCCGGAAAGTCAGACGAGGTTTGCAATAAGAAGAAAATCTAAGTAAAATTCAGCGCGAGTAATATCAATCGTATTATCGATCTATTATTGGGAAGATGATAGAAATATTTTGTTATCGACAGGACGAAGAATCGTCGGGTGCCAATATATTGGTACTAGAAAAAGAGATCAGTTCTATGGAAGATGAGCTTTCTGAAACGAGGCTCGAAGCTTCCAGGCTGAAAGCCGAATTGGTTTCGGAAAAATCCGCCAGTCACGTCAAAGTCTCCGAGCTGCAATCTCGAATCAACGAGGTAATTGGAAATGATAAATTGCCAAAGAGATCCTCACTATTTGACGCGCTTTATGATTGCAGCTGGAGGAGGAACGATTGCTCACCAGCGGTCGTTCGAAAATCCCAGGACTGAAGGTGCGAATGGAACTAGCTTGGCAAAAAGAGAGAGAAGAACATCAAAGACTACTCCAAGAAACGGCAACGTTAGCGAGGGATTTGCGACAAACGTTATTCGAGGTATCTAACTTGCGTTAAAAGACGAACCGGCAGATGATTCCGCAAATGTTATATACTTACAGATAGAAAGAGAGCGCAGCAAAGAACGGCTTGAGAATAAAAGAAGACAAGATCAGTTGAAGAAAGTATTCGACGAAGAGAAAGAAGAGAATAAGAAGAAATTATCGGAGGTGATTGAGATATTGCCGAATAAAAAATATTTGCATGAAAATAATTAAAGAAAAGAAATATATGTCGCTTCCTCAAATATAATCGATTCCAGTTGCAATGCGATTTACTCGAGCTTAGAGACGCGCACGCGAAGTTAAGAACGAGCAATGAGAAAATGAGGCGCGAAAAAGAGCGGCACGAGAAGGAGAGGCAGGAACTCAAAGATGTGATATTGAACAAATGCAAATTGGAGCAGACCGAGCTGCGAAACATCAACATACTTATGCAACAGGTTCAGGACCTACTGCAACTTTTCCCCGAATTGAACACTGTAACGGAAAACGGGACGCCCGACGTTTACACGCCGACTCCGCCGAGACGAATAAAGGTTTTCACACCTTTTCACAGTAGACCTTCTTCCTAACAGTTATACGATATATATATATATATAATAATGTCTTTGTAGGGACCAAAGTCAAGAGAGTCATCGCCAATGTTGGAAACGAAGAGTGACGTAAAAGGTACAAAAAATAAATCAGCTTGAATTTTCCGCACAGACCAACGAAAATATATTTACAGCTGTAACGCCAATACTCGGAGAAAGGACGGAAAAGTTAGAATACACCGTTAGAAAATTAATGGACGTGGCGAAGGAACTCAAGGAGTCGAAGAAAACGGCGGACGAGGCGAATGCCACACGACTGAAGAAGCTGGGAAAGAGGTGAGGAGTTAATGTAATTTGATGTCTCGCCGACTATCGGCGTGAGAAACGTTATATTGTTGCTGTGATCTAGATCGACGTCGGTTGAGAGCGATCCAGGGAAAGGAGTAGCCTTGAATCGTAGTAAGCCGCGTTTAAAGAGGAAGAGTCTCTCCTTGGAGCAAACGACTGGGCGCCAAGAGGTGAGCGCTTCGTAGAATCGTATCGTCAATCTTGAGATTGAGAAGGCCAATTAATTTCGGGGGATTTGCACGCCCTTGCGACGATAATCACGTCCTTTTGCAGTCCCCAGCTATTTGGGGCACCGACAGCAACATGTCGAGCATGCAATCGTTGGAGGAATCGGAAGCAGGGTCTCGCCGGCAAAGGGATTCCAGCGTAGACAGGTATCATCGTAAAATCGCTGATACGCCGACGAATTGACGACGAAGCAATTAACAATTTTTATGTTCAGCCGTCTCTCCGGAGGATCGACGAAGAGCGAGATGTTGGAACGCGATAAGAAGTACGGCAAGGGGATAATACGGAAATTAACGCACAAATTGACGAAATCGTCCAGCGTCGACGATCCGAACATGACTGACTATTCCCTTCAGGCAAGAGAAGGAATATTCAAAAATCTTTCTACCGTAACGAGATATCCGTTAATATGGCCGTTAATGCTTATTGCAGACTTCCGGTTCTGAAACGAGCATCAACGAAAGCAGCAAGTTAGAGAAGAAGAATTTAAAGAAGAAGTTGACGGCCATGTTCAAAAGAGGTTCAAGAAGCAGCAGGTATATCGGAACAAATTGAATTATCAATTGGCCATAGTTGTGCAAGAAGGATTCCCACCAATCCTTGTGAAGTGCGTTTCGAAAAAGATTTGATTTAAAAAGTATAAACAGCAACTTCACAATCGTTTAAGAAGTCAAGCATTTCTTCTCTTTAAGAGTATTCATTAACAAGCGTTAAGAAATGGGTAAGAACGATGCAGCGCTGGTAGAAAATGACGCGATAGAAGGTAAAAGCTGTTTTTTTTTTTTTTTTTTTTAAGAAAATCTCGGAAATCATTTAATTTTGTGATTTTTCTTGCATAAGTATGGCCAACAACAGCATGAACACAACATAGCGAAACAAATTATTCATAAATATACATAAAGAATGTAAGAGAAGCACCGGTAATTCTTCAACGATGCTGTGATGACTTTACAGTTTAGACAAAAAGACTGGGAATTCCAGCAGGCCTACTTCGAGAAACTCCATGACATCGGGCTAATTCCGCGCAATCTCTCCTTCCAAGGGCTGGACGCTTCGACCTCTATTTGACGATTACTATTTTCCAAGAGTGTAGCATTGTATTCGACGACGGGAGGGCTCAAATTCTTGTTAGACTTAGACAGTACGATGCAATTTTCACGACGAGTAGAAGCGACACGTGTGTGTTCTTGTATGTCGATAGCGCGAGTTATCCTTAAACCAGAATATCTGTATCGTCATGATGTCCGATAGAAAAATAGGTCTCGTGTTGACGCATTCGCTTTACGCTGTTTTTTTTCTCTCTTCTTCTTTTTTTTTTTTACGCGGGTGTGAGTCTACGCGATGGTTCTCGCCGCTGGGATCTGCGCCGATCGTATGCGAGCTGTAATACAGACAATTTTTGGAAAAATATAATATTTCACCAACTATCCGCAAATCTTTCGTTCATTTAACATCAGCAGCAACTCGCTGGCATAAATGCGCAGGAAGGAAAAACTGCATCGATCACATTCATCATTTATTAGAAGAATAATCGATCGTGACTGAACGATTTACTTACATCTTAAAGGACCAGAGCTAATACTTGATCGTTTGGAGCGAAAGAGAATTATTACATCCATCACGTCCTTAAAGGAGTCAGTTTGCGAGAAAGAAGGTCGTGTATATACAGTTACACTGGCAAATTTGTTTCTAAATCACCGAGATTAGACGAGGTATCAACGTCTCGAGCGTTTCTCCTTCCTCGACTTCTTCCTGTGCCTTCTGTGGTGCCTGTGCTTCTTCTTCTCTTTCTTCGCCTTATCGCGCTCCACCCACTCGCCGACGAGCTTCTTCGAGTCGTCGCTCGTGCTTCTCGACACTACGACGCTGCGGAACACCGGCATCGCGTCATCCTCGGCTTCGTTCGTCGCGCCGCCCTCTTGCTTCAACAACCTCTGCGGTAACACCGGACCGTACATGTCCGGCAGCTGTATCGCAGCTTCCGTCGCGCCGCTGCAATCCGCGAGTTGACGATCGTCCGAACTGGTCTTAGCGGCGCATGCTTTCGGCTGCGCCACCAGACTGTCGAGATCCAGCTTCGCGAAGATACCTCGCGGCGGCGACGTGTTCCGCTGCGAGTTCATCTCCTTCGGGTCTTTCCCGATCAGGATCGACTTGACCACCTCGACGACGTTCTCCTCCACCTCGCTGTCGGAATCCTCGCTGCTGCTACTGAGAAAGATCGCCTTGAACAGGTCCTTCTTCTCTTCCGATCGGGCGACTTCGGAACTTTTCTCCTCGAAACTTTTATCAGCCGCTTCATCCTGTTGGACGGGAAGAGTTGAAGAAGCGCTCTGAAGAGCGCCTTTGCCGAAGACTTTCTCGTAGGAAGCCTCGAAGATCTTGAATTTCTCGGAAACGACTTCCGAAGGTTGATAGACATTAGACGGGATACCGGCTTCGCTCACCTCTTCCGTGGCTTTCGTGAATTTAGACGAGTCGCACCAGTCCAGAGAATCGAAAACGGAGAATTTTGTCGTCTTCGTCGCGACTTGGGCGCAGCCGACTTTCGGCTCGGGGATGTTGAATCTCTTGCATACGACACTCGCCGGCTTCCATTCGCTCCGTTCCCGGGTGAGCTTGCCGAACATCTTCATCTTGACCGCTTGCTTCTTATCATCGTCTGGTTCCACCTTGCGATCGGCGAACTCGTTCGACCGCTCGAGCTCGGCCGCTTGCTCGAACTCCGTGCGTTCCTGTTCTCTCTCCCAGTCGGTCATGGAGAGCGGCTGAATGCTCTCGAGCTTGTTCGGCTCATTGCTCTTCAGGAAGGTGAGATATTGCTCGAATCGTCTCTGCTTGTCCGGGTCAAACAGGAACAATTTCCTCTTATCCGACGCGTCCGTGCTCGATGACGCGAAATCTTCCAGCTTCTTCAAGCTGCCCGTGTTATCCTTTCCGATGACGCCGCCTTTCACGAAGCTTTCGACCTTCAACTTGTCCAACCACGAACCGCTCGTTTGTCGGGCCTCCTCGGTCTGTTGCAACGTTTTCGAGATAATGCTCGAGGCGACGGATGACGGCTTCTTCGAGCGATCGTCCGGCTCTTGGAGAATCCGCGCTCTCTCCACGGCGTTCAGCTCCCTGCGTTTGCCGTTTGCCGCGATCGGCGGGTAGAATCTGCTCATCCTGACGGCGTGCACCGGTGCGAAGTCTTTCGGCAATTCCGGTGGCTTGAAGACCTTCTTGCACTCGAGCCTCTCCTTCGCGCGGACGAAACCGTCGGCTTGCGAGCCACTCGGGCCGTCGTCCTGGGACCATCTCGTCTTCGTCTTGCGCTCAGGACCCAAGGCGAAGTCGTACCGCGACATATCTTCTCGTTCGTATATGTCCTCGTCGTCAGCCTCGAACGCGCCGACTCCGAACGCCTGGCCGTGTATCGACAGCTTCTTGTTCCTGTCTTGAACGCAAAACGCCGGGGTTTCGAACAGATTGATGTGGCTGGAGAGAACTTTCCGTCTGTCCAGACCCGAGTAGCCGATGCCGAAGTAATTGTCCTTTGGTTTGCACCTGAACGGCTCGTAATCGTCGGGGGCGAAGGTGACGGAATCGTCGTCAGAATCCTCGGAATTGCTCACCGTTACTACCTCACGATTCGCCAACTTCTCATTACGTTGTTTCATCCTGCGCTTCTCTCTCTTGGTTAGCCTAGAGCCCACACCTTGACCAGGCTTCCAGCCCATCTTCTTCAGCAGGACAATCCCAACTGTTTCTCTGTGTTTTCGACGATACTAATATAGTTTCAGTTGTATGTAATGTAATACTAATTAACCCTCCGCTAGTCGCAATATCCAGTAGATATCATCTTAATATTGATCAGTCTTTTTATATGCCACTTAGTGTTTGGCTATTCTTCCAAGGAACGGAGGAAAATAATGATCTCTAAGATACATTGTAACAATTTATGGATGAAGAATATTGCGACTAACATCTAATTCCACTAACTTGACGGGTTTAAGAAGTTCCTTCAAGACTGGAGTGCCGGGGATGGGCCCGCTATTGTCCTGGCTGATCCTCTCCCTCTTCTTTCCTTTCTGTCCATGATCGGCGTAATCACTGGTAGCTCGGATTCCTTTTGGAGCTATCCCAAAGAGATCCGTATCTTCCTCATCCATAAAGTCTTCCGGCCGTTGAGTGATGTTGCCCGCCTTGCTGCTCCTGGAAGACTTGAACTGCTGTGGCCTCCAGCCATCGCGAGTACCGACGGTGTTGAAGTATCCAGCTGAGAAACCACCTGTAAAGGCTCCGTGAAATCTGCGTCTACCTTGGGCATCACAGGCATATTGATCCTCGACCGTAACGGGTTTCTTGCGTGGAATGTTCTCTGAAAAATACGATGTAACGAATAAAACAGTATATATGTGATCATATGACACGCACCTTCGTCTAAGGGATCAAGAGCCACGCCGAATGTCACGTAATTGTCATCTGACGAATCGGACATTGTTCCAATTCTCAATATTTCATTCTCAACATTCCGTTGTGATCCAAACACGATCGAATTCTTCCAAGACGGCGCACCCTGAGGTGCGTTTGAGGTTAGGTGCGGGAATTCACAAGATTTAACAGACGGCCCTGGGAAACGTTAGTGGCCGTTCACTCGTCGCGATAATTCGCCGCCGGTGATAACGATGTGGTTAACGATTTCATCTTTCTTCTTTATTTTCCCTATTTAATTTAAATTTAACTATTTTGCGATCTTTTCTTCCGGTAAATGTATCAGAAAAAGGCTGAGGCTAGAGAACGTGACGCGAGTGGGTAAAGCAGAAAATCCACGAATTCGAGTGTCCGACGATACCGCCAAAAGCAAGCCTCGGAGTCTCTTATTTCAATAATTTTATCTCGACTGAAAATCACCAGACGATTCTCACATCGCTGCTAACGTTCATAAAAATATTTAAAACACACAAGATATGATTTGACACCCTGTATATTTGCCGGAAACTCTTCTAAGCCAATTTGAGGAGGTCTTCTTACTTCGGAAGCACTGCCTTTTTATCGATCAGTATTTAATCTTTCCAAAATAAATGTATGTTTAAACACATCAATATGTGACAACCATCGTTGGATCATCGTTCGATCACGAATAAATGAGTTGGCGATGAGCGCCGTATGTGGTGATACGTCGTACATATGCAGCTCGCTTCAGAAGCGCGTGCCGATTCGGGTGCAATGGCGATGTTAAATTCATTTTACTTGATGCGAAGCAAACTGTCGACGGCCGGTAAGTGAATTCTAATCATTTTCTCACATTCACGTCCGCTGAGAGACCACGTCTCCGTAGTTGCGCGTACGAGCCGTTCTCATACCGCTTATCGATCACGAGCTTTTTCGCATCAACAAATTTCCAAGTTGTAGAAAGTTTCTCTGAGGATTTAGACGGGAGGACGAAAATGCACGTCCCGAGAAGTGACATCGCATATCTGCGAAGGAAAATCGAGGAAAAGAAAGACGATCGCTTCTCTCGTTTTTAAATTTCACTCGGGAGTGTCCTCGGTAGCGAGAGTGGTGGGATACCAGCGGCCAAAGTTCTTTGCATCACCGTCCGGTGCAACGTGTGCTTCATCCTAACCTCAACCTTGGAAAGGAAAAGAACACAGAGAAACAGTTACGTGCGCGATACATATGTTTTCATGGTAATTTGAAAATGTCGGAGACATTCCTCACGCATTTCATCAAACTCCTCGAAGGTTGCAAGACCGAGAAAATTGTTGAACTGTTCGCAGCAGAGAAGAGTACCACTCAAGATGCTCTGAATGTGATTGTGCGCATCACCAGTGACTACCTTACGGATTCGAACTCACGGTCTGATCTATTTGAATGTTGTAAAGCTGTATTGAACAACATAGCGGAGACATGTGACCCTATCGAGACTACATTGGAGTTCTTGCAGCACATGGAATGTTTGGACAACGACGTCAAGTTCTGTGCCCTCTTGGGGTCATTGGGTACGTGTATAATAAGAGGAAAGCATACAACCAGTATCGTCGAATGGTCGGTCAGCACGATCAAGTCGTACGTTGAAGATTTACCTGGTGAGGTCGAGCAAGACAAAGTCAGTCGCAGGATCATAAATGTATTAGAAAGAATCACATCATTCTTGGAACCATTGGCGGAAGAGGCGGCAAAGATGAATTTTGAAGATGCCTGTCTGTTCGGGGATTATTTTCTGAGTCTCCTTATCACATTGTGCGGAAGACCTTTTTGCTATTTGAGCAAAAGCATCGTCGAGACAGTTACGTACAAAAAACTCTTAGAAAAGATCGTGACGTTGGCAGTTAGTTTCACCGGGGATATATTGTATTTTCTGAATATAGTTAGCAATCGTTGTAGGAACATCGTCGGTGACAGATCGTATCAAGATGGAAATACCGAGGACTGCATACGCGGTATGCTGTTTGAGTTAAGCGATAATGTGTCGGACTTGGCCTATGCTAATTTTTATTACCACGTAATCACCGAAGAGGCGTTCTGGAAGAACGCACCACAGGTTTACAGACCCCGCTACCTTCTCGAGACGTGTTCGTATCTTTTCAAAATACTGCTCGGTAAGAAGCAGGAGATTTTAGTCTCGAACGGATTGGTCTTCATGGAGAATGTTGTGAAGCGTATTCGTCCTTGCTCCGTGCCTCTATACGCGTTGGAATTGAAGATATATGAGGATTTGTTTCAGCTGATCATCAACGTAATGGTTTATCGTAACATCGACACAGACCGTAAGAAGGCGGTGCGCATTTTCCAAGAATACATCGGGATATTTAACATGGAGGCCAGATATTCGGTGATCTCGCATTTGTACGACACCGTGAGTGAGCATTCCGGTGTGCTGAGCTTGATCACGGGTATGTTCAAAGCCTCCATCGTCGAGTGCCTCGACTCGGCCCCTCGGAATCCCCATTTTCTCGGCAGAAATCTGCAACTGATGTTGAGGAAAATTTGCAACTTGCCACACGGCAGTTTGTCGGATCTGGTGGAGATATCGGACGAGGTGATAACGGCGCTGAACTTGTTGCGGTTCTTGCTCATCCGAGATAAGCTGAACGAGACCGGCGTCTGGAACATGAGGGACACCATCCGAAGTGGCTATCTGAAGCCGCTGAGAGAAGGGATAGATCTGTGCAAGACGCATTGGAAGGTGAAGGCGATGGACTTGGAGCGACAGAGGAAAAACGACGACGACGACATGGAGGTGACGTTGACCGTCGGCGGTGAACAGTTGCCGGTCATGCCAGTTGCGGATAAAATTCTGTTCTGCGATCAGGCGATAAATGGACTGGACATGATGGAAAGCATTCTTGTCCGAGTCAACGAATGCATGGATGGAATCGAACAAGCGCGAGCAAATGTGTTATCTGAGTAGTAGAAACGATTGTGCCTTACTGATAATGTGTTGTAAAACTGTATGGTAAAACGTCGAATGTATGTGATTGAGCGGGGGAGACCTTTTCTCGTAAAATTGTGTCTGATAAAATGAATACTCAATAAAAGGTTCCTCCCCTTATCTTTCTTCATCTGTTATGCGACAAAAGTTCACGGGTGATTAATCTTCCCGTTATATCTATTCGCTTCTCCGATACACACATGTATAGATAACTTTAAAAGTAGATTGATTGATTTTACTAGGTTTTAGACGTTTATGGACTTCTAGGGCTTTGCTGGCCGATCAGTTTGAAAATGATACTAAGAAAAAAGCGGAATCGCAACAAACCGAGGAGAACGACGAGGAGTACGAGAGAAGCATCAAGACGAAGATACTCGACGTGTCCCTGAAATATGTTTCCGGCTTGGGCTGGAGCAAACAAGCCATCAGCGCTGGTAATTATCTTCCTCTCTGTACACGCTGTCCCAACGAATTTATTTTCCAACGAAGAAATGCACACTTCAGCTTACGTACCGAGAAGGTTTGCAATTAAAATTTAATATATAAGTATTACACGTCTAATGCTTTCCTCATTATTTCTATCCTATTTTTCACAGTCTCTCTGATCACTTATTTACTCTCAACTATTTTCTACATTAGAGCTAAAAAACTTTCTACCTTATTTTTCTACTTCTTTTCCCTCTCTCTCTCTCTCTCTCTCCCCATAACTTCTTCAATATATTTCCATTAACTATATCTAACCATAGTCTTCTCACATAATTTGTCATCAACTAATGTTCAAACTATCCGCTTGCAATAATTTACACTTTCCAAGTAATGCGCTCCCTCCGACGTGACGAAGAAATAAGAAACGATGATGCCGTAGGTGCCGAGTCGATTGGATATCCAGGTGTGACCCATGGACTGTTCCCGAACGGCGGTGCGGCTCTGGTCCAACACTTCTACTCCTTGTGCAATCGCAAGTTGAACGAAATACTGAAGGAAGAGGCGCTGGCAATTCAAGACGACCCGTCGAAGCCGCGAAAGACACCGGAACAGCAGGTTCGCGATGCGGTGGAGACACGGCTGAGGATGCTGACGCCATACGTGAAAACGTGGCCGCAAGCGATAGCGATCATGGCTCTGCCGCCGAACATGCCGACCGCGTTGGCGAATCTGCTGACTCTGGTCGACGATATCTGCTACTATGCCGGCGATAGATCCGTCGACGTAAGTCGCTGATATTCGAATCGAACGACCGATTCGTTGGCAAAGCTAAAGGCTTTTACCTTCTGTTCGACCAGTTCAACTGGTACTCCAGGAGAATGATGTTGGCGGCCATCTACAAAACTACTGAATTGTACATGCTGCAAGACACTAGCGAGGACCACAAGGAGACCTGGCTGTTTTTAGACAGACGAATAAAGGACGCCTTACAAATCTACAAGATGTTGCCCAGTACGGCCGACATGCCAGATCAGAATCGCGCGACGGAAACAGCCACTGCAGTTTTCATAACGGTATATAAATAAAACACTTCTTTCTTTCCGCGTCTATGTAATTATTTTTCTATTCTAGGCACGCAATATACTCGGATTGAATTGGAATAGATAAACGGCAGATGTATTTACCTCGTAAATGCATTCTAGAGAACACACGGCAATGTATTTAGGGGATGGCAAAAGTATATAGATGTTTATAGAAAGAGAATTAAAATTTTTCCTGATAAGAAAAGCTTTTTCTACTTGAGTGTACCCGACCTCATCGTCCGTAGAAATCAGCGTCGAAAAGGGAGAAAAAGAGATATCAGGAATGCAGTTTTATGCAATATATATATATATATATTTTTTTTTTTTTTTTAACAAAAACCTGTACAGTAGAATAGGTTCCGACGAATCTAAACTATACATCCTCATGTAAAATATATAAATCGTCGATAGCGCAGCTAATAACGTTCAACAGTCGACTAAGAAATTTCTGCTTACCCTGCAATATTGTCACAATGTTCGTCGTGTAAAAAACTCACAGGCGGGAGGTCCGCGCATGATAACTCATCGTGATTTAGCACGGGATTACCTCTAACTTACGCTAAATATATCTCTTTTTGATTCGATAAAAATGACACGTGTGTATAACAATTCGCTGGGAAAATAGACAAACGCGATATTCGTGTCTCACGACGACTTCAACGACGATATGTCGCGAATATAAGTCGGATAAAAATATCTGTAGGCCAGTACAATGTCGCGTTGGTAGCTGCCACCAAGCAGTCAGTTTCCGATACTCATTAGAACGGCACTTGATAAAAATAAATTCGTCCTTTCCGTCCATCTTATCCATTAAGTCCAATAATGCGGCTCTAAAAGATACGACTTTACAGTTTCCGGCAGGAGCAACTTGTGTATGTTATCCAGACTAGTGTTCTGACGAATGATGAAGCGGCATAGGTACTGCAGACTCTTTACTTGCGTGAACCTGCTCACGGGTTTCGTCAATCTAACCGGGAACGACGGATATCCGGGATACCGTGGCCTCGAATAACAAAACACAGCCGACTGACTGAAGTTCATCGAGTGATTAATCAAAGCGGCCACCGAAGTGAAGCCCTCGTTCTCGCGTTGGTTGCACAGTGAGAACAGACCGCCGCTGTGTTCCATACGCGTGTGCAACATCTTTCCGGACGACTTGAAGCTGAGCGTCAGGACGTACCTGTGGACGTGTAATTGCACCGAGATATCCACACAAATTCTTTTCTTTTTTTATTCGGATTATCACCCACCTGTCGTCGGATGAGTCACGAACCAAGAACGCACCGTCGGGCTCGGACAGGAGCTTGGTATCGGCTTGATCCGCCGATATGGGACCCCAATACCAACCGTACTTGCTCAAATTGAGCAGCTCCTCTGCGAGACTCGCTTTAGCCTTACTCTCGTCGCTTAATGTTTCGACGCAAGGAACATCCGTCGATATTGCACTAGGAACTTCAGCTGCTGCATCGGAACGGCTAGGTTGCGCTATTATTGCATCACTGATCTCACAAGTTGCTACGTCTTGCTGTTCCGCAGGAAAATCCGTCTCGCACGATCGTCCGTTTAATAAGACCTCCCCCTGTTGGCTGCTTGAGCGTTCTTGTTCCTGACAAGAATTATTCAGTTCTACAATAGGATCAACTATGGATGCAACGACATCCTGATTTGTAACGTAAAAAAAGCTGGATGTCTCCGCGTCTTTGTCCTGAAAAGAAACAACAAAGATAGAGAATTGTTCCAGGAAGTAAACGAAGGAAGATCAGAGAGAAGAGAATAGACTGAGACTATTCTGGATATATAAAAAATGCCTTTCTGATTCTCTCTCACTGAAACAACGAGGCCTGTTTTTCATCCGGTTTAACAATCGTACAACTTTTGCATCCAATTGGTATAAAAATATACTCCAATTAAATACAAAACCAGATTAACATTGTCACGTGACAACATTCATCCAGTTTCATACAGACAACCGTAGTTAGTGAGCTCTTACGTTTAATTCGAATCTATTTTTAGATCTAAAAGAATATACAGTTCAATCAACCACGATTATTATTATTAAACCAGATTAATGCTGCCATAATAAATGTTGTAAGAAAGCCAGAATCAAATGACCAGATTAACTGTACCTTTTGCTTGAACCTGCACAGATTCTTAGTCTGCAAGTAGTTCTTGATATTCCTGAAGAAGGATACCCTGCCGTTGGTCTTAAACTTATGCTCCACCTGGGAGATATCGTTCGTCACGTCGACGTCGTCCTCCTTCTTGCACTCTTGCCGAGGGTGGGTCCCCCGTGGTGACTCACGTCGCCAGACAAAGGTCGCTAACCTGTCGCTTATTGCACGCCGTGATTTTTGTCGCGCGCAACCTCGCTCCGCGGCTGTGGAATTCGCGGCCGCCTCGTCCGTGTTCTGATCTAGCATGTTCCGACGTGGTTACCTCAAAACGAATCCCGCGTAATTATCGCACCTGCTGCTGTGTCACCTGCATGCGCCATCTACTCCCGTACGAATGACCTGCAGCGTAAACAACGGTATCGGTGCTCCCGGAATTATCTCAACAATTGCATCACGCGGACTGTCAAAACTCGTCACGTCAGGCGCATCAGTGGGAGATGTCGCTCTTTTTTGCAAATTAACAGCGGTACCCGGAGCGTCCGACAGAGTGCACTTCATACCAATCTGTGGAAAATATGTCGGACACCCTTGAATATTATTTTCAAGAAGTTTAGCTATAATAAACAAGCTTGTCCTTCACAGCTGCGTTTTATATTTTTTCAAAGGAAAAAAATATGTCGGACAATATAGATTTTCGAGGATGGATATAAATACGATAAAGTAGGCACAGCTCTTGTCGCTCATTATATTTGTTTCATCGCCTAAGTTTTGACGGTAACAAAGATATTTTCTCGTCAACGAATTTTAGTCTGGTGCGTATTTAGTATTACACCAATTGACATTTTTCTCCATGTAATTAGCTCAATGGCACATGCTTATGTGAGTAGTAGCACCGACACACACACACACACACACATAATATGCTCTTATATAACATTGCGACGTTTATATTTTCTGTAGTTAATCTTAAAGATGTTCCAATGAGTCATATTGGTGAACATTTTGACTTTGTACGACGTTTGTTCGTGAAAAATCTTTGACAAGACTCTAACTGAACTGAAACCGATATATCAGAACAATTTTATAATTAACTTTTTTCTCTTTAAGTTTGAGTTAATTTTGCAACAGTAATAATACCGTTTGGGATCGATAATGTTCGTGAAAAAATGTCAATGTGCATCGCTTCTAACGGTTCGGTGTGTTTTCTTAATGTTTTCTTAATGTGTTTTCTTAAATGTTAAAAAAAAATATGTCAAACAAGTTGTCGAAAGAAATGAATCTTCGCTTGATTGTGAAAGACAATAATATATATAATAACGGAACGATTTTCATTTCGAGTAAGACGCTGATTCAAGTAGCAAGGTAATGTTAAATGACGTCTCTAACATCATTAAAACGTCATTTAACATCATCTTGCTACTTTGGAAGAATTCGTGATATCCAAATCATTTTTGATTAGGTTCGTTATCATGTGTCTGGAATCTTAAATTAAAACGCTTTGTGATTGATGACAAACCCGGGAGAAAATTTTCCATATATAATTAGATGTAATTATACATATTTATACATAATTAGTTATACATAAGGCATCACATATAAAATATATACGTATAAAGATATAAGAGATTATATAAGAGAAATTTTTTCCCGTTGTATAATTAAAAAAAGGTGAAGAAAAAATTTAAGCAAAGATTTAGGACATGGAATATTGTGTTAAAATTACAAGTGAACCATGTTGTTAAAGCCCTATCGATCTCTTTATTGGCTACGTTCCGACGCTCACTACTAATAAAGAAAAATCTATGGTATACGTAAACTATGGATTTTTCACACTAGCAGTGAATTTCAAAACATGATTATTGTAATGGTTGATTAGGGTTTCGTAAGAATGACATAGTATAATCTCTAGAAGGTAACATCAACAAATTACTTGAGAAATTTTCGTTACGAATTATCGTTATCAGCATGTTTTGTCATGAAGTCTATCTCAGACATGAGAGATGTACACGTCGTGAAAAGAAAAGATCAGATATCCTTGCAACTTTCGGTAATTGAAATCTATCGTAAACTCGTCGAAAGGCTTTGTGACAGGACAGCAAATAACAATAAACAATTTAATCATAAGCGGGAGACCAGTCGATTTTGCCAGTGTAAAAATGGTGTTATGTAATCGATCGGAACGTTCGATCCCCGCAGAAATGTGCTTTCTAATAGGTCCTCTTTATTTATAGGCACGCGGGCACACAACGACGTCGTGCATCGCTGGAATGTTTCTGTCGACGATGTCGTCGTCCGCAAGTACAAACCAGGTTAATTACGATCCTGTTGAAGAAAAAAGCAGGCAGGAATCCATGTAGGAAATCTATGAATTCCACGATTGTTCCTAGGGATTTGCAGAAATCCAGGCAGGAATCTATATGAATTTTCACCAATTATATGGATTTCTATTCCACACTGAGAGAAATTATAGTTATTTTCGGTGTTGTTTTATAGCTTTAACCACAAAAATAACAGCATGCGTTAAGAAAAATCAGATGGGAATCCATATAGGAAATTTATATGGAATCCTTCAATTGTCTTTGGGCGTGAAAAGCATAGATAGGAATCCATGTAGAATGGACTTTTATTATCCTATATGGATCGACATGAGTTCTATTGGATTTCCATGTGAATCCACCTAGAAATTGTCAACGGGAGGCTAATCGGTTTCTTATCGCGGCGAACATTGAATCAAGATTAATTCGGCTCGTCCGGCGTTCACGGCGTTCATTTCGAACGTAGAAAATTGTTCCACTGAAATATATTCACACTATTTCGTAACTGTCTACCTATCGGATGTGTCGTTGGGCAGCTTTATATCTACATATTCCCAAGCCGACGCACCCCAGGAAGAAAAAGTGAAACCGATCCAGCTTTAGGGCACACGCCTCTCTCGTACGCTATCTTTAGAGAGAGATGGGTTGCTCGAAATATCTATCTGTCTCTTCCAATATACTTATATTTCACCTGATAAGCGGGAAACATGAAGTAAATTCGTCGAAACATTGATTTAATACTTTGTAGATATTTTAAAACTGTTCCGGAATATAAAAAACCTTGGGCGGGAAGATTATTTTTAACGTTTGGATCACAAATATTGTTGCATACAACATCATGTTATCGCATGCGTTGCGATTTAACCATGAGCTGAACGAAACTGTCGCGTTTGCCGCGCGCATGCGCGGAGTCGATAGTGTGCACTTCGATAATCGCAATCTCGTCAGTCTCTCCGGCGTCTGTTAGATCGAGCGTACGTTGCATCATCGGCGGTGGCTCTACGCGGGAACGATCGGTTTTGTTTACCAACGGCGCGACAGACGGGCGGAGAGGAGAGGCGCGACGACGGTTAGCGGTGGCCGGACCGCGTGGTAGGAGGCTGCCGCGATTCAATTTCAGTCGAAGCGCGTCAGGCAGACCGAGCGAGCGATCGTCGGTGAGAGAACCAGTCGGGTGCTCTCCTTTGCAGTCCCCGGTAAGGAGAGACAGAGAAGAGAGAGCATATTCAGTCCGAATCTGCTTTCGTATATATATATATACACACACGCGAGTCCTCTTCGTCCTCTCCCCACCAGCGCGCGCTGTAAGGGTTAGCACGTTCGTGAGTGTGCTCCAGTCGGTGTTTACGTCGCGCGCGTGTCTTTCTTTTCGTCGATCGCCCGGAGGCTTTTCGTTACCGAGAGAGGTGCCGCCCGTGATTTTGGCGGGCTCGGACCGGCGAAGCAGCCGATGGCGGCGGATGGACGGAGAAGTGGCGAATAACGTCGCGCAACAAAAGTTCGCGGCATGGATTTTCCCGCGGTTCGTGCGATCACGTGACTAGAACGACGACACCAAGGACGACGAAGGGACAGTGGGCTCCACGTCGCCATGAGCGAGGTCTGTTGACAGCACCGTGTCGTTTGCGAGAATGGAATTCGGCGGCTACAAGGGCACCGGGCCCCGCGTCAGGGTGCGCCGACGTGCGGAATTGGGCAGACGGCTCACCAGGAGGTTGTCCCTCGTCGCGAAGATGCCGGCCGCGATCCTCAGCAGAGCGAACCCGCCGGAACCGAGACCGGTCGAGATCACTGCGATCGCACCTGACAAGACGCAGCTCACGGTGAGTGATCGACTTGTATAAATTCTTTGTGTTTTAACCCCGTTGAACAATTCCCAAGTGGAATACATTTCTAAAAGAAGTCTCTATCTAAAAATTAATAGGATCTCTTCCACAAAGTTTTTGGTAACATTTATCCGAGAGGTAGCTCCAGACCAATCGATACCTTATTATAGATTGTCTAATATTTGTTGAGTGAATCTTACCGAGAAGGTTAGTTCTTTGGTCAAGTCGATCAGTTGCGAAGTTGACGATAAACGTGGTAAAAAGTGGCGATAAGAAAGATTGTATCGACGGATAAACCGCCGCGGATCATGTTTTTCGACATTACGTCTTGCACTGAGGAATATTCCACTCTAAATATGCATAGTCTGACTGCATTTGACAATTGATGTTAGTATTACTAATTAATAACGATGAATTGCGTATAAAAATTATATGATCGGGCTGGTAACATACACGAGATTTAATACACTCGACTAACGAGTATCTAAAAAAACTTAGTTTGTGTAATTGATTTTCTGTTTTTAGGAACGAAAATTCGGTTGTAAGAAGAGAAGAATTTTTGACATTTTTATTTAAAATTGATTTCAAACACTCTAAATAATTGTTGTCACAGTTGAATTTCTGCACAGCTAAATGTTCAAATGAATGTTTTTGCTCGTGATAACTAACAGTAAGTTATTGTTTCTCCTCACTGAGTTTTCGTTTAGTACCTATTGTGTTGCACGAACTGAGTTTTTTATGCATATATATAGAGTAGTGATTATATAGTATAGTACACTGAGAGAAATATTTTCGGCTTCGACTTCCTATCACAGTTTTAATCACAAAAATAGTAGGGTAGGGCATATAAGGGTTGTTATCATTGACGCTATAATAACACTCGAAAAAATCTTTTTCCCCTGACTTTAATTTTTTTACTATGTGATGATAATAGTTACAAATGTTTGTCTCTTAGATGTGTGAATTATTCTTCGCAAGGTATTCTACTTCGAAAGATATACAGATAAACAAAACAATTGTTATACTCTATTTTATTACGAGATATTGTGATAGGATGAGAAGGATGATTTGCATTTCTATCTGAATTTCGTCAGTAAATTAATTAATCAAAGTGGATATTACGAAATATGACTCATTTTTGTGACGTACACCTCAATTTTATCATCTTTTACAATCTCCTATAACTTTTGATTTTATTTAATCTTTGACTATCTTTGAACCAAATCTCATTCCATCGCTTATATCTGCCGTAAACTGTGAGAAAACACGTTTCCAATATAATTTATAAATAGAATCGATCGGAAGTACATACTTCGGAGTCTACCGGCGAACACTGTCGCGCGATTTTGCGCTCACCGTCGTCGCCGCAAAGAAACGCGAACATAAATTTGAATCAGGAAGCGGGTGCAAATTCCAAGGCGGAGAAATCGAAACGCGTTATAGACTTCGGCGATTAATGTACCGGCACGTATATACGTACTATCCTATGAGCGTTACACATAATGTACGGGAGTAAGAGGTGTTACCTTCGGTATTTAATGCTCGCCGTAAAGGGAAACTCCGCGCGTGTCTCGCTCTTGTCCCGCGGTTCGCTGATTCGCGCCGCTTTCGTGCGCGCATTGTCAAAGGTGGCCGCGTTGAAAAATTCGCCGCTGCAAGTCGCTCACGAGTAACAATATCGGTATTATCGTTGCAAGTGACACGGATGTTATGAATGAGGATGTGGAAAAGTACAGAGAGAAAGAGAGAGGGAATGTGATAATAACCGCTTTTCTCTACGCGGAGAAAAAATGCTGTCGTATGATGAATAGAATTTCCAACGGTGCGTGTAATTGAAGTAAATCTTCTTGAAAATAACACTTGGATTATTCAGAGAAACAATGTTTGATTTGTGACTTTCAATAATATTGAATCAAGAAGATTTACTCCAATCACGCGCGCTGTTGAAAATTTTACACAGTAAAAAATTTTGTGCAAATAACGAAATTTTTCTTTAACACGTTAATTTAATATATATTTGTGCACTTTTCTATATATTCCCAGATTAAAGTAACATAAAAATCTTAGCGGACCGTTATTTTAAAACGTTTTATTGCGCGTTGATACAACAGCATTTTTTTTCTATGTGTGCTCATGTACATAAAAATTTCTATTAAAAAAAAAAATATTGGATGCGCTCTCATGAGCTTTTCTAAACAGACTTGGTGAGATTATTTAGCGTGAAGCGGAGAAAAAGCGGATACACGCGGATTAATACGCCGTAGCGTCGTTTTCACACCTGCTCCTCGCGATTCACGCGAGGGAGCCGTTTTATCTAACCATCAGAGGGGGGAAATAAATCTCTAGCTTCCCAATACGCCGCCGCCTCTCTCGCGTTTCCGCTGCGATTACAATGAAGGAAGTGCTGCGGANGGGGGGGGGGGGGGGGCTCCCGTCGTCGCATCCGCGTGCTTCCTCGTGTGAATGTACGTGTCGTTCATTGAACCTGGATGTCTTTTTACGCGTAATCGGTAGTAAGAAAGAAAGCGTGATCGATGGCCCGTGTGCTTTCTATCGGCCGCAAAGTGGTAACCCGACCTATCCTCTTTTTTCTTCTTGTACTCCGTCGCGATCCACCGATCCCGGTTTGAACTGGGACGATGCCTGGGTTGAAACGAACGTAAAACGATCGTGCAAGTCATGAATAATCGACGCGTGTGCGGTAATAAATAAACATTTGTTTTTATTTCTTAGAAAAGGAGAGGCTGCTAAGGATAATTTATAAGAAGGATCAGTCGGTGAAATAACTCGTGTTAAACGAACTTGATCTGATTCGACGCATTGTTAGTCGTATTTATCAGCTGATCAATTCAACTTTCCAATCAGAATTATTCGTATCATGCAGTTAAATCAATCTTTTTAATTGACAGTAACATCTATATCAGTACATACAACTACGTTTCGTTAAAATTTTACTTTCTATTACATTTTACAGTTTAACCCTTTTAGTGCCGGGCGAAAAAGAGGTGCTTATGCGAAGATAACCGGCCGATTTTACTAGGATTTGGTAAAAGGCTCATAAAAACCAAACGAAAAGCAATATTTAAAAATTATTTATTTTAATTCTCTCGTAATGAAATTAGACTATTTATAACGTATTTTAAATTTATTTTGATAGAGATCTCTCGCAATGCGAATAGTAAAGCGCTACAAGGTGCGGGCCGATATATCGGCTCTGGCACTTTTCGCCGGTGTAGCAGGAGCCGATATATCGGCTCCCGGCACTAAAAGGGTTAAATTCCATCCGTCAGATCGCTGATTTCACTTGATTGTTTTTCACTCGATTGTAGTTTATGCGACGAGAATTCGCGTAACCCTTGCTTCTTTTCAGCCGATTTTTTTTTTTTTTTATGTAGAGAAAGAGTAAATATGGAATGCGCGTGGTTGTAATATGGAACCTGTGCTAAAATCATTGTTTGAAACTATCGGTAATCACTTAGAAACATTAGGCTCCATTTAGGTCACCCGTTGGCGTTAACCCTTTCGGTACATTTGACGAGCGAGACTCGTCATCTTTTTACTTGGGCATAAAATGTATTACTTTTACATATTAATCCATATAGCGACAAATTAAATCCGTCCCATGGGCATAAAAATCTTAAAATAATTCAGTACTCAAAGGGTTAAATGACGTAGCGTTTAATCGTGTAAACGAATATTCGAAGTACGATGTAAGATTTAACCATTTTTTTTCATATATATATTGTTAAGTGTAAAATATTAACTCTTATGTATCAGTTAGTGCTAAGATTAAAGTGTGATAGATTAATTATTTGGAAATACATGTGCTACATTCAAATTCATTGTTGGCTGCAATATGTATAATCTCGCATATAAACAGTAGATTACTTGAACCATTTGCAAAAATAATACGTTTTTCATTGCCTTTTTTATATATAAATATATTGAAAAAGATTGAACAAATAAGAAACTTATAAAAAAAGACTTTTTTTCTTTCATTTATCTGCTTGTTCCGACCTTCGGTCAGATCTTCGATTTGACACGTGTTGACAAAAATGTGTGCCCTTTCAACGGTTGCATGTTTGATCTTAACAACCAATGGCACATGTTCTTAGATGCTAACATTATTGATTGATTATTTATTTACACTTTTTCTTTAAAATCGTTCTATATTTACATCTTTTTTTCCTATACATTAACGGAATAAGTCTCCGCGCACTGAATTCAGACGCGCGAGTTGATATAAATCACAATCACCCGCGACAATCGGTTAACGACCGCTTGATGGTGAGATTGTGATGTAAATAATAGAGAGAAAAGTTAACGGTATCACGGCGCGGATACTTAAAGTGGATTGCCGTTTTGCAATGTAACTCCGAGTAACGTACGGATAATCGCGATGCACAGGCTATAAGTGCACACGCTGACAACACATTCGTGCGAAAGAGTAAAAGTCCGCGGTCAGTTAAATGCCGATATTCACACAAGAGCACGGAGGGTTAAAGCAAGTTCTCCTCTCTCTATACCGTGCGCGACACGAAATGGTAGAACGGTAATCGATAATATTATTGCTAATACCGCGAACCGTTGCGCGCTGACGAGCTTTCAGCGATCCCTCAACGATCGCGCGATAAGTAGTATTCGTGATTTACACTGTAATTACGGCCAATAATGCTCACATACGCACATACGTACGCAAATATGCACGAGCGGGCCATTGTTATGTCCGTTTCCTCTCGCTGTTTCCCTTATCGGTCGGTGTATCGTAAACATTTATTTTTATCTTCGAGCTGACGAATCGAACATTTTTTCTCGAACTGCGGCATAATGTAGAATTATCCCACACGAAAACGTAAATTCGCTCACTTCGTGAGTTGCAAAGAGGCCGTTTAGTAATTACATTGCGCTCAATTTGAATATTTCTCCTTCCCTGTCCACACATTTTCCCACTTTCAACATTACGTAACACGTGTAATTACCACCTCCCTTCCGCCGGC